CTTGGGAGAATCACTAGACATCTGTGAGCCTGAGACGATCGTTGTACCCATCAGCACCCCTCAGAAGGGCCACCCGCTCATCTTCAACTCCATGGCCGTGTACCGCAACACTCGCGCCCGTCTTGAAGTCGATCTCAAGTCCATCCAGGAGGCTCTTCGCTACCACTCTCCCTACGAAGTAGCAGCAGCCATGACCGTAGCCCGCGAAAAGATCAAGCGATCCCAGGAAATGAACAAGGTAGTCACTCAGTGCTTCGAGTGTATCGAGATTGCTGCTGTCCAGGGTTTGAACTGGGTTGCCACTGCTTCTGCCACAAACTGGAGCATCGAGCATCCGCTCTGCGGCATGGATATGATGGTCATTCTCAGCCTCTGGCTCTACCGTCTCGAGCATGACGAGGAACAAGCCACGGAAGATGAACTGGAGCTATACTACAAGATCCGTGGTCTCTTCACCAACGAGCTGGTCGATCAGCAGGGCAAAGTATGCTCTACCGTTGCGCGTGTCTGGGGCAACATCCTCGACGGTGTTGTTGTATGGGGGTAAGTTTCCTCTCTTTTCCTTTTCCCTTTCTTTTTCTTCATACTAACTGTATATAGAATCACCAAACTCATGGGCGAGGCATTCAAGCTCCACTCCCAGGCACTTGTCGGCTATCAAGACGCAGTCGCCAGCCCTGAACAGGCCCTCGAGCCAATGCCAATCAAGGGCCTTGCCAGCGTTGGAACCGCCTACTGACTCCCTCAGCACCGCTGACCGGGCTACCCATTTTCCTCTTACCCGTGTCCTACTTCACTAAATCTCCAATTTGCGCACCTCATCTCATTACACTTGGTTTCGTACGGCGTTTTCCAGTTTCGGATTTCCCTTTTTTCCTTTTGCTTTCCTTTTTCCTTCGTCTTTGGTACTAACTTGCTGCATTTATTCTTTCTCGCCCTCTCTTATAACTTATTATTCCTACATTTCTTACGTTTCCAGCGTTGTTTATGCGTTTGCTTTATTTCCTTTTTTTTATTTCGGTCTGCTGAATGGTCAAGGGATAGATTGGCAATACGGGGAAGCATGGGTTTGGCGAGGCAGGCAAGGGAAAGGATTTTTTCTACTCAAGATTGCCTTTCATCCATGCGTCGTGTCAGAAACGGATTTCCTTGTCTTTTTTTTTTTTTTCTGTTTCCTTTCTTTTCATTCCCTTCTCCGGAGGTATGTGGGTGTGGTGAGCTAACTCCCGTTCCTTTTCCTACTTACCTTTTACCTCCTTTACTCAGCCTTTTTATCATCATTTTTTACTCTTGCGGACTTGCTGCTCACACTTCCCTCTATACCTCCGCCGGTGGTTTCTCTTCCCGCCTACCTACTCTCTCTCACACAAACACCTACATCACACACACCCTTCCTCTACCAAAACGCATAGGAGTCCGGTCAGGTTGCTTTTCCTCACCCATCTGCCTTCTTTCCAAGGCCATGAGCAGTGAGCAAGGGGCAATTTATCCTCTACACCAGCTGGTCCTGCGTGTTCGTGTCTGTTCGCATCATTCCGTTCTCCGTTATAGTAAATTAATTACTAATAATCTTATATCTTTCTCCTACCACCACTATATTTTAATCTTTAGTACTTGATCCCTCTTCTCCTTCTCTCTTTTTTCCCCTTCTATCTCGCGGTTCATATACTCCATTTAGTTCTGGCTTCTTTTTGCTGTGATACTCTACTCCGTTCTGCGTGCATGCTCTGCTCCGTCCTATGGACTTTAATCTGCCTCTGCCTGTTATTTTGGCGCGTTCGAGTACGTTGTTTCACTTTTTTTTTTCTTCTTTTCTGGAATATCGACTAATCTCTTTCGATCTCTTCGTCTTGTCTTGCTTTGTTTGCTTCTTGTCTGCGTTCTGCGTGTTTTGCTTTTTTATGTCTCTCATCTATCTCAAATCTCATCTCATCTACCTTAGATTTCAGTTCGGTCAGCCAAAGTGCCGGTCTTTCTCTGTTTTGCTCTATATTTAATCTTGCTGTTGATATTTTGATATAGTTTTATCTATTCTTATACATCGTCTTTTTTATTATTACCATTTCCTTGGTGCTTCTCCATTTTTCCCCTTTATCAATTTTATATTGTTTCTTCTCCCCTTTTGTTGGTAACTGATTTTTTTTTTCTTGATGTTTTCTTCTCTGGTCTACAAATTGCATGTACCATACAACCTTAACATAACCCCAAGTAATCTCATCATATTTATGGTGAATCTCGCGTGTCTTCCAAGTTTAAATCAGCAATATTATAGACGTGGATATATCGCACCAAACGGGAACCGTGTGTAAGAAAAGTGAAACCCACCGCTCGCCAAAAACACAGCCCAAAATAACACCAACCAAGCCACAACACATCAGCACGTCCTCCCACCGGCCGAGAACAGTCTATCCCCAATATCCCCAAGACCAGGCTGAATCATCCCCTTCACATCAACCTGCGCATCCACCGCCCCAGTCCAAACCTGCACTCCCTCCTTCCACTCCCCTGCAGCCTTAACCAGGCCGGCATAACTACCCAAGACACACAGAAACAAGATCCGCTCGACACCCCACTCTTTCAGCGTCTGTATGGCCGCCGAGGCGGTGCTGCCCGTCGCGACCACGGGGTCGATTATGATTGCTAGCTTCGCTGCTGCGCTGTTCTGGCCCGTTGCCGACGGCTGGAACGGAAGGTTGTTGTAGTATTCTACTGGTTCGAGGGTGGTTGGTTCGCGGAATAGGCCGAGATGGTGCACAGCTGGAGTGCAGGGCAAGAGAGTTTGTATTGCTATAGCCGAGTTAGTGCGGTACAGTCAGGTGTGCATGTCATGTAGTATGGTCATTATCAAGTATGGTATGGAATAAAGGGGGTTAGATACACACCTTGTACCATGCCCAGCCCAGATCTCAAGATGGGTACGAGGGCAATCTTTTCGGGCATTATGGACGCAGTGGTATATTCGTATCCGAGGGGGGTGGTATTCTAATTAATCAAGTAGTAGTTTCTTACCATTAGCATGATGCGGGGGAGATGGTGAGATGCCGCACGGCGGAGGGAGACGGCAGCTTACCTTCCCGCCTGGAGCCACGGATATGTTGTCTGCGAAGGCTTCACAGCCTATTATCGTGGCAATCTCATGGACTAGGTCGTTGGTTTCACGGCTTGATGCCTTTGCGGATCTCAGCTGGGCGAGCTTCACTTGTAGACAGGGATGGCGGGACACATGGACGTTATCTGGTAGTTGTTTCGACATGATGGACAAGTAAGAGCGTATCTCTATCAGAAGGGAAACTTCAACTATAAACCTATAAACCAAGATCAAAGTAAAAACTGCTTTAGCCGTCCAGAAGTGTAAATATCAAGAAGTTGTAGATGTTGTTGAAAGCTGTTGAGGGGGGGGAAGAAACGCTTCTTATCTTATCGGTAAGAAAAGGTTGTAAGCATGGGGTAACATTACTGTATCTACGATACGCTTGGTTGATACCAAAATTACATGGAAAACTCCAGCAGGAAGAAAGATTTCATACATAGTAGTTGGAAGAAGAAACATAGCTTGAACAGGGGCTTGCAAGCCTGCTAGAAGCTTCAAGTTGATGCCATCTGGACGCGCGAACTGCCGATGAAGCACAGATGCTGCGCTGACAGCCCGTCAGATCCCGCAGTCCACCGAGACGGAGATACATCCAGCGAGCTTGAGGCTATAGCCACAAGAGCGAACTTGGAGCAGGCCCATAATACACAAGCAGTGGCGGATGAAGGAACAGAGACGCTCGCAGAACTTACGTCTCCCATATCTTTGCGGAGAACCTCGTCGTCTCGTCGCGAGCCGTCTGCCATACTCGAGAGCGCGGAATCGTGCATTGCTACGCCCCGTGAACATCTCCAATCGGAATTAAAACTATCCCACCATGCAACCCGGCTATATACCGTCTCCTATTTGGTCTTCTTCTCAATATTCGGCACCTTGGCTCGAATCGGGCTGCAGGCTTTGACGGTGTACCCTGGGGCGCCAATCACCACGGGTGTAATCTGGGCAAACGTCGGCGGATGTCTGCTTATCGGGTTTTTTGCAGAGGATAGCAACCTCTTCCGTAACGAATGGGGCAACGGCTGTGCAAGAGAGGAGAAGTTTAACGGCAATGGTGATGAGTTGCAGCAGCAAGAAGCTGATCGCAATGACGAGGAGGATACAGACGGGTGGCTGGCAAGGCACAAGGCAGTTAAGAAGACCATTCCTCTGTATATCGGGTTAACCACTGGCTTCTGCGGCTCGTTCACCTCCTTTTCATCGTTCATGCTCGATGCGTTTCGCGCATTGTCAAATACCCTACCGAACCCGAATACGAGCACAATCGCCCCTCGACATGGGGGATATAGCTTCATGGCGGTCGTGGCAGTTATTCTATACACGCTTTTACTCTGTCTATCTTCAATAATCGTCGGAGCACATCTCGCAGATGGGCTTTCCTACTTCACGCCATCACTCCCCTTCAGGTTTCTCCGCAAAGTTCTTGATCGTCTAGTCGTCGTACTGGCGTTTGGCTGCTGGATTGGCGCTATATTTCTTGCCATCTGGACACCAGACAGGGATAAACCAATTCAAGAGCAGCATTGGCGTGGTTCAGCTGAATTCGCCATCATATTTGCTCCTCTCGGTTGTCTGTTTCGGTTCTATGCTTCCTTGTACTTGAACCCTATTATTCCGTCATTCCCTCTCGGAACATTCTTGGTTAACATGGTAGGGACGCTAGTTCTAGGCATGTGCTTTGATTTGCAGCATGCCGGCACCATTGCAGCTAAAACCAGCGTGGACGGTATACCTGATTCCCATCGTCTACTCAGCTGCCAGGTTCTAAAGGGCGTCATGGATGGATTTTGCGGATGTACAACTACAGTGAGTACTTGGATTGCGGAGCTTCACAGCTTGAACTTGAAGCATGCATATCGATATGGGCTTGTAAGCATTGGTTTAGGCATCGTCTTTATGGTGGTTGTTATTGGTACTATGGAATGGACAATTGGATTGGGACAACCGGCTTGTTAGACTTATATTCAAATATATACATATACATATACAAGATATATTATATGAAAGAAAGCCCCAGGGCTAATAACAGGCCAGAACGCCATATATCTCAAACAACCAAATCTCCTTGGACGTCGCCAAAACCCAAGCCTCCATCGCTATTCCCATTACGATTCACCCTCGCTGGAGTTTCGCTGGTACCACTCGAACTGCTATGGTTATGAAACTTCTTGACAGCCGACATATTAGCAACAGCTCTCTGCCTGGCAGCGAAGGCTTCACGACGAGCAAGCTCCTTTGCAGCGTTGCGTTTTTGGGCAACTAGACAGCCAAATACTGGGTTAATATCATCACCCTTATAAGGCACCCCGAGCATCAACGGTTTAGCACGCTAAGGGTGGAGAAACGAACATTGCCAGAAGACCCAATACGCCGCCATCATCACGATGGACAAGCCTATAAAACCGAACATGATGGCTAATTCCCGTCTAAGAGAAGTGATAGGTGAATAAGGCAACATAGGCGTATGAGGATGACGGCCGCCATGACGGTTGTCGCGTGAATGCATCTTGCAAGAATATATTTCTCCGTATGGGAAGGCTACAAGGCCTCCGATGATATATTGTTATATATATAGACAAGCCTCGCGTGCTTGCCCTGAACCCGCCTTTGAAGAATCTGTAGCCAACGAGGGTTGAGGTAAAAAATCGCTTTCAACGCTTAATAAATGCAAGATCAAACCGAAGAGGGTTTAAAATCAATGAACGGTCATCACAGGCCTTCTAAATATTACTATTCGCCCTGCATTGTTCTATGTAGAGACAAAGAACGCCAAAGGTTGGCTCAGCCTGGTACAGCCACACGCCAAGATGGGTTGGTAGAGTAACATATGATTGCCAGTAGAAACTACAGAATATGATTTCACGAGAGGAGAAGCAGGAGTTCCGCTGCAGAATGGAGAATATAGTTCTAGAGATGTATATCGTAAGATGGGTCGTTAAGTTTCTATGGGCGAGGATAGACACCGTAAGATGAAGCGAGGGCTTTTATATCGATGTTTGGGGGCTCGTTTGTCCAACACCTTTGAAAAGAACCTCCTTAATCTCTGCAGCCATAAGGCCAGCCAGTTCCTCCCCCACAATCCGATCTCCGTCCTTGACAATCTTGACAAGTTGCTGGTCCTTTGTTGAGTGGCCATCTTTCCCTTCTAGGTTGGAGTGGCCCATTGCAGAACCTCTCGCCCCGGAAACCCCACCGCCCTCTAAAGCTCTTGTCGCTCTCTTGATCTTCTGGCTGAGGTCATTCATCTGCTTACTCCCGTAGTCCCGGTTGGTAAACAGCGGGCTTTGGCTGATGGTAGCGACCCAGTATTTGTTCCAGAGTAAGGACAATATCTTGGTGTCGAGCGTGCTCTTGAAGTTTGATACTTCAAGAGAATAGTACTGTGACGCATGTGCACCGAAATCTTCGACCTTGTTCAGCGGGATACTCTGATATTCGTCATCCTCATCCTGTCCACCACCTGATGGCGAGTAGCCCTTGGGGAAAGTTCTGAATGCACCAATTTCCACTTTTCCAGCTGAAATAGTCCTGTCAGGGTCAATAACGACGGCAACGAAGGGGTCCGAATAGGTCTGATGCGTATCTTGTGTCGAGACATCGATTCCAGACAGCCAGCATCCGTATCCAGGGTGGCTATGATACCAGCCAATCGCATTTTCCATCCTCCCAGAGTCACGGCAAGACTGGAAATAGGAGACCATATACTCGTTCGCTTCATCCTGTGCATTGACTCTGGTCTCCGTTCCCTCAACAGGCAGTCGGAATGCATCAGTGACTACAAACGTGTTGGCAGCCACGAATCCTTGCATGAGACCCATTACCTCTATATTTCCTCCTGATCGAGTGTGCATGACCATCTTCAGTAATGCGGTGGCGGATATACGGATTGACTTGAAGTAGTGGGGGTCTTGAGCCCACGGCTTAGCAGTCATCAACGCCTGGACGGCTGCCTGATCATAGTTATAGAGGGCATCGCGCTGAGGGTCAACTAGTTTGACGTGGTTCTCTGCTTCTATATAGTGGTAAGATATATTAGCTAGCTGAACCTGAACTTGAACACCAGCTTGTAAGGGAAGGGTTAGGAGTAAGTACCCCATGATTGAAGTGCTGAAGTACTCATGGCTGGGGACCTGTGTTTCAGTTCCCGTGCTTTTCTGAGCACAACTGCCTAAGCTGCAAGTCGCAGACGGATTACCATCTATCTGACTCCAAGTCAAAAACGTAGGCTGAATGCTGAGACGATGGAGCGCAGCTTCAAGCTTGACTGCATCAAGAACGCCTTTTGGTATGATAAATGGGAAGGATACAAAACATTTGATTAGATAATCGCTGATGATATAATCTCATGCTTCAATATCACGTGCAAAAAACTGTACAAAATGACCCACTTTTCAAGTTGAGTTTGTTGTTGCTTTTTGTGCCCCGTGCGTTCCCTTGATATATCAACGAACTTCAAATGAGTCACTTTGCTGGTGGTTCATACGGACTATATTAGCCGGGATGTACGGTATAGAAGGCTAGTAGTTCCCATTTAATACAGAAACCCAAGCGTGAAGTCAGACCTTACGTCAGAGAGACCACTAACTTGATGGCGAAATACCCCTTCGGACGAACCAAGGATTGACAAAAGAATACTACGGTGATCTGTAGATTGTTAAACTAGAATCTTCTTCATTTCCTTATCCTTGTAATGCTAGGAAAGTAACCCCAGATCCAGGGGAATCAACTGGCTAGATGAATGCCGCTTCGACAATATGTTACATGAATTTTGTCCCGTAGTAACTCCACCGTTCCATTCTTTTGTTTTCCGTTGTACCCCGTGTGAATTCAACGCCAGCCAAACTCCTATTTGGTCCCTTTTTTCCGTGGAGAAGTCCTGAATCTACTCCAAGATGTGATACATGCCAGCTTATAGTTTGAATATTAGCATGATATATATATAAACCTTAGTAGGGTAAGAGAAAAACGAACCTAACTCAATCTCATCTTGAATGGCGTGTTCCACCTGAAGGATGCAAGGGTACTTTCCCTTCCAGCAGGCCATGATGACGTCTCCGAGAGGAAGATGGTCGACGCTTGGGTAGATCCCGTTGTAAAGCCACTGAGCAATGATAGCAGGCTCTTGTTCGGGAGCAAAAGGCCGTTTGGTAGTAAGAATTTCATACATGGTCGATCCCAAAGCATGAAGCTCGGCAATGACGGTTGCACGACGGTTGTGATCGCGGTTTGGATGGGCAAAGCCGATCTCGGCAGAAACGGTTGGAGGGCTGCCACAGAAAGCAGACCCAGCAAAATCACAGAGTTTGATGTTGCGGTTCGCGTCGAGTAAAATGTTTTTACCACAGATATCAGCATGACGGATATGAAGGGCGTGAACGTAGTCAACGGCTCTAACAAGGTCTCTGCACCACTTGATGCGTTCAGCTAGAGTAGCCATTCCTCCCTTCTGATAGTAATCACGCAGATCACCGTAGTGAGCACGCTCAAGCACAACCCCATTGTTAATAACTTTGACACATTTGACAATGTTAGGGTGCTGGCCAACGCTCATCATGTTTTGGTAGATGAGCTTTTCACGCTCAATGTTTTGCATGGACTCTGGGTCGTGAGAGCAGATCTTGTAGACCTGAGTAGGGTTAGAAGGAGAGGAGTAGATCAAACCAGAGCCTCCCGAAGTGATGAATTTGGCACCCTCAGGGGGGTCAATGTAGCGTGCTGGAGGCATATTATCGTCGTCAAACTTGAAGAAACACATCTTGAACGCGTTTTCTTCTCTTTTCTTTAGCAGTTGGTAGTAGACGTGAACGAAGGAGGTTTGATAACAGAAAGAAAAGGAAGAAGAGGAAGAAGAAGATAAATCAGAGAAAATTTCTATCTTCTAGAAGTGAGAGTTGTTGTGTGTTTAGGACGGTGTTCATCACGTGCAATTCACTTTTGAGACTGAAGTAGAGCATCATAAATAGTTTGATATTAGTTCTTATGCATAGAATAAGCACTTTGATTGGAATATAGCAAAATATAAAGATAGTAAGAGCTTTCTTTCTTGTGTGTTCAAAGCTGGATTCACCAATTATATAGACTTTCTTTGGGATGACTAGTATAGAGGTATGTGCCCTCCCCTTTAGTCTTATATATGGTGGTCATTCTAGTGTACAAAGTACATACACTATTAGATACCACGCTCTCTTTATATCCGTATGGGGCCTAGCAAAAATGCTCATTCATAGTCCTTTTTGCCTCGTCTACCCTGAGGAATTGGTATATATAAGGGTATGTACGGTAAACTGAACATATCATTACCGCCAAAGAGGTATAAAAAATGGGTTCTTCCACCGAACAAGTGTAATCTGGTATAGTATCTTAAGTTGCATCTTGTTATCAGGAAGTTCACCAGGCCCTACTTGCTTCTAGAGGCGGTGAATATGGGCATATATGCAGTGTATAATTACAGATAATAGGCATATATAACATCAACCATAGTACTCCGCATGATTCTCTGCAGTGCTTCTTCGCTTCTTCGCTTCTTCTTCCTCTTTTTTGATGTTGAAGTAAAAATAAAGTATCCTTCCACGTGACGCATGACTTACATGATTAGTCATCTGTTGCCGTGGAAACTTCCCGCGAGTCAACAAATCGCAACGCCCGAACTTCTTTAACCAGATCATCATCCCGAAATCCAACATTTTCCTGCTTTTGGATAGAATAACAAAGTGCTCAAGGAGACTGCTTTTTCTTTTGGGGGCTTGCTTCTACTGCATATATTCTGTCTCGCCCTTGAGTATGAAACTGCGCCTTTCATGATATGGACTGCGATCCCTTCAATTGACTGCTCCGCCTTGTTTGCTTACCCTCACTCGTTTCCTCAATTCGCGACATCCCGCATTCGTTCACTCGCGACACATAAGAACCAGATAGAAGCTCGACTTCCGGACTTCTTCTTCGCTTCTCACCTTCACAATCTACAAAGAAACTGCTTTCGTGTTTGGAGACCTCGACACCCACCAGGGAGCCAGGCATGGCCGTGGATACAAGCTACCTGACCAGCCAGGTCAACACTATCGTTGAGCAGCTCCATGGCCTATTTGATGATATCGGTGTCCCTCACCATGAGCGAGAGTCACGAGAATCCGAAGTAAGCACTCTCGAGTACCTTGGACTTGCCTGGTGGCATGCGCGCCCTCGTTCATTGCTAACACAAACACAGCTATTCTCGGCCCTCTCGGAGACTCTACACGGACATTTACAGCGTGTTGATGAGTAAGACATATCACACCCAAGAACATACATGGACCTCCGTCTGACGGGTATTGGATTTAAATAGGGAAAAGAACCAGATGATGGAAGAGGCCCATCAACTTCAAACGACCATAAAACAAATGGAAGCTTCCCTTGATGGCGCCGGGAGAGGAAGCCGAGAATTTGAAGAGATTGAGATCTCATATCCCTTAAACAGATGCCTTGAAGCACTCAAGGAAAAGCACAGGACAGTCAGTAAACTGCATCAGGAGCGATTCGAGCAAGTGAAGAGTATGTTGCGACATGTCTCCGTCCAGGTTAATTTAATATGATAAACTGACACCCAAATCAATAGAACTTGTAGAAGCTCTCGTGTCCTACTCCTCTCACCTTGAGCCGTCCTTCGTTTCCATAGAACTTCCACCAACGGAGCCGGGTACCATAGCTCCTCCATCGTTTGACCTCTCCTCAAAATACGTGACAGCCCTTGATGCTGAGTTCACGAGGGTATACGAAGAATATAACCGCCGTGTTGCCACGATGAGCAGCCTCGGACAGGAAATCGTGAATCTCTGGGCTGAACTCGGTACACCACAGGCGCAAACAGAACCCCTAATTGTTCAACATTACCGAGACTCTCCTGAGCAACTGGGCCTTCATCAATCAGACATCGCCAATCTCCGATCTAGACGAGAGAAACTTTTAGAGGAAAAAGGCGCCAGAGAGCGCAAGCTGAAAGAGCTTAAGGCAGCTGTTGATGCCCTGTGGGACAAATTAGGCGTCGAGGAGTCCGAGAGAAGGGCTTTCCTAGCTTCAAACCGTGGCTGTGGACTGAGAGCTATAAACGAATTCGAAGATGAGCTTTCGAGGCTCAATGAGCTCAAGAGACAGAATCTACATCTGTTTGTGGAAGATGCTCGTTGTCGACTACAGGAGCTGTGGGACAGCTTGTACTACTCGGAGGAAGAGATGTTGGACTTCACCCCGGCATTTTCGGATGTTTATAGTGACGCATTGCTCTCTGCACACGAAGGAGAAATTGCCCGTCTTGAGGCTCTATTAGAGCAAAGAGCACCCGCTCTCCAGCTTATTGATAAGCACAAGTCACTCATCGAGGACCGTGATTCACTCAATGCTTCTAGCCAAGACGCTTCCAGATTGATGGCCCGTGGTAACAAGGGCGAAAGACGTGATCCTACACGTCTTCTTAGAGAAGAGAAGATGCGGAAGAGGATTGCAAAAGAGTTGCCAAAGGTTGAACTAGAGCTCAGGAAGACTCTCCAGCAATGGGAAGATGAATACGGTAGACCGTTCCTTGTCCATGGCGAACGATACCTAGATGAAATCACGCCTGCACCTGCACCGTCGAAGATTCCACCAAGGTCCAAAACACCCTCTTCATTCTCAACCGCTTCCAGGGCAAACTCTGTTCGAGGACCTCCATCAATACGGGGCGGTGCTCCGCCTAAACCAAACCCTCCTGTATCACGGGCGAAAACCCCAACTTGCAACAGCGCCCCCAAGAATATCCCAAGACCTTATTCTGCTGCCGCTGGAACCTTTTCGAAGTCTCCCTCGAAGATACCTGCTCGTGTTCCACTTGGTAATCTGCCACATGGAAATAACTCTCCAGAACGGCGAGAACCCTTACCACATAATTACTCCTCAAGTACGATTCGCGGGACTATGGCACCACCTCGAGCGCCTCCACCAAAGATGAGAGATCTCTTTCATCCACCTAGGCCACAAACATCCCACTCTATTTATAGGCGCGAAGCAGAACAATGCCCGAGTTTGATTTCCGCCGGGTCTAGTGGAAACGTAACGTCAACCAGCCCAGAAGACGATTCGTATGAAAGGGGACATCAGCGTGCATATACACAGTCCTCAGTACCCTTGCAAAACTCGAGCATAAACTGCTCCGTTCAGTCTTTGCATTCTTCAAACGTCCAAGATAGCGGGTATTACCAGCAACAGCAATCCTCCTTAATTAGCCAATCAAACGACAAACAGTACCGCCCTCCGAATCCTACCAGCAGACAGATTTCAAATTCCACAATACAAACAGTAACATCTGGTTCAGAAAACTGGGAAACCTATGATGATGCATCCGAGCCTGAAGCCGACGCAACAGAGGTCTACTATGCTAAGCTAAGAGCTACCCATGGGAAACGTATGGGGACTCCAGGGGAACTAGGGGGTTCGAGGAAAATAAGAGGCATTCGAGGGGTAAGCGCTGATGATTATGAATCGGAAAATACATACTCACATCGAGTCGACGGCAGTGACGCATGGACCGATGATTTGGAGCAATATTAACGCATTGGATAAGCGTTTTCTGGAGCTCGCTTGGAGTGTTGGCGCAGGTGTCTGGCGTTATTGGAATGAAGCCATGAAATAACGAAGGCCACCAAATCAAAACTAGGTCAATACGGCTAGAGATTTCTATGCTTATAGGCGTAGAAAAGATCCCTTGGGGTTCTTTTTCTTCCTGGATCAGCAGGCCAGAGCAGACACGGGCGATCAGTATACGTGTTTACGCCATATGAACAAACCTCATTCCTCATCGTTTTTACTTTCTTCCACTCTCTTCCCTTCGATTTGGGGCTGTTAATTTTGCGCATGATTTATTGTAATTTTTCCTTTCTGTCTTATCGGTTGGTCTTACAGGTAGATTCTGGGAGGGTTTCTTTTCTTTCCCTATTTTTGTCCTGGCTTCCATCACCGTCATCATTTCATTGTCACCCTCATCAATAACTCGACCACCTCCTGCTGGCAGGTAAGATGTTCCTGTTTCTTTCATCAATACCTCTTGCGATGGATTCAATCCTTGCTTCGGCCAGCAGAGAAACGGGGCTATTCAGCCAAGGGGCACTCGATGCTTACCTTGATTTCTCTTTTTTTGTATGTCTGGTTCTATGTTGCTGTCTCAGTCTGCATTTATTCTGTGTACTTATTAGTTTTTATTAAAATTCTATTACTTTCTATGTGTTCTTCTTTGGTCGAATATTATATGAGAAGAGAGTTATATCGACACTCTAGTGACTAGCCATGGTCAAAATAGGATAATTTAGTAAGCTAGTAGTAGTAGATATAGATGTAGTTTGTTATACAAGTACAGTAGTCTATATAATATAAAAGTACAATGAGCCAACTTTGATGATCCAAATGGCCTTTATTCCTTGGTTAGCCCAGCGAGTGATCCCATCCAGGCTTTAGAATCGCCCTCACTCGATTTGACAGTTTTACCAAACTTTTGTTTATCGGGAAGCATACTTTTAGTAGCCTCTCTAGCATCCTGTAACCGACGAACTGTTTCGTCTCGACCTAATATCTCCATGGTGGCGGGAATACCTATGCCCGGTGCTCCGCCAGACAAAGCCCAACGAAGATAATGGAATAGTTCTTTCCTTGCTTCTTGTTCCGTTTTTGCAACGGCGACATCCCCATCAGGGGTGGTAGCTGGGCTGTCGGAGAATATATAAGAAGCAATGTTGGAACGATGAGTTTCGGCTGTCCAATGCTCCTCGGGGACCATAGTTAGGACAGCGGCGGCGGTATGAAGGGTAGAAATGGGAATGGCTGGTTGTATTTCAGCCGATGGATTCTTGGTTGCTGCCGCAGAGGTATAAGGCGGGCGATTCATTGTTTGTGTAAAGAAGGATGCATTTTGAGTAATAAAGTCTTCAGCAGTCGTGTATGATCGAGCTCCCTCTCGAAGAAGGGGTGCGACATATTTATCGAGAGAGCGATCCTTGAGGATAGGTGATCTAATAAGATATCAGTATAACCTAGTCCAACTATTACCCGTGTTTCGATTCTAACATACAGTGTTTCAGGTGCGAATTGCTTCTGTGCGGCATTGACAACTTGCTGTGTCATGATCTCAAACTGAGGTCCGCTTTCGGCAGCATAACGCTTCGCATGCGCCTTCTGCAGAAACCATAGTTTTTCAAAAGCAACGACGGTGTTTCCCTTGGTAAGTTTCAAATTGAACTAGATATAGTATTAGTATGGCATAGAGATAGGGTGGAATGGGTGCAAGGCGCCATACTGTTTCCTCTAGTTCCTTTAAACTGAACACGTCCGATTTGCGAGTATGAGACCACCCAAGCAGAGCAGCAAAGTTGGCTAATGTTTCCGAGAAAATCCCTTGCTGATCCTTAAAAAACGATATGTCGATATCTGCATTGCGCTTGCTGAGTTTTTGGCCGTTCATATCAACTAGCAAGGGGACATGGCCGAATTGCGGTGGTGTCCATCCAAAGGCATTATATAGCGCTACATGCATTGGCGTGGAGGCCATCCATTCAGTGCCCCGGATAACGTGAGTTATTTTCATGAAATGGTCATCCACGACATTGGCAAGATGGTAAGTTGGATGGCCGTCGGATTTTATGAGTATAGGGTCTGGGAATACACCCTCGTGTCCTCCTCGTTGTCCGGCCGGGCGATTCTGGCCAGTCTTGCCATAAACAAGGTCGTCGAACATGGGATACTGGTCATCAACCCGAAGACGGGTGACATGAAGCTCCCCCTTCGCTGCTCGCTCGTCTGACTCTTCCTTTGACAGTCTAGCGCAAGTTCGGTCGTATCCGGGGGTTAAGCCCATCTCGTTACGGTGTCGAGCCACACTATCGAGGTGTTCTGGAGTGCAGAAACATCTATATGCATGGCCGCCTGAAATGAGACGCTGGGTCTGATTTTGATAGAGCTCGGTTCTTTCGGACTGGGGGGGTTGATGAGCGTCGAATATCATATTGTAACTCAAGAACGAGGTCTGTTACCTGTCTGTACGGGCCATAGGGGCCACCAACAATCGGACCTATTGCCATTGAACATCAGAATAATTATTCTCTTCAGAGCTTGCTAAGCTGCAGCCGTACCTTCGTCCCATTGAATACCAGCCCATGTTAGGTCATCGTATAGCCTCTGCTCTGCTCCGAGAATAGTCCTTTTCTTCGACAGTCAGCGACTAAGTCTCCAATTGCCCATCATAGCTGATATATCTGGAGCTATCGAACCCCTTATGGATCCTACCTGGTCTGTATCTTCGATGCGCAGAAGAAACTGGCCTCCGGTGCGTCTTGCGAGCAAGTAGTTGAACAACGCCGTTCTCAACGATCCCAGGTGAAGGTATCCAGTCGGCGAGGGAGCAAAACGAGTTCGTGCCGGCGCATCCGGAAGGGCATTCCTGGTCCTTTTATGCGCTCGAATGGTAGTGGTTGAGAAATGCGACTGGCAACTCCGGCATACCCAGGGGCCTCTGGCGATGCCCGGGCGATACAGCAGAGCTTTCATGGCTGGCCACCTAAATTCATCCTGCTCTTTTCACAACCTCCTTGTGTCCAAAGTGAATTGTCAAAGGACAGATTCACCTCATTCGTCTATAAACCAAAAGGTCCACCGGCAAACAGTGCGATATTCTAGCTGAATGATGCCGCTGGGCTTTTTGTTGATATATAAATAGTTTAAAAATTGATAGATTTTTTTTTCCGGCCACTAAAAGAACTTTTTTCTTGACCAAATCAAACAATGTGAATTACAAATTTTCATTCTTCTTTGCATATCTTGAGAAGAGTAACTATTAAAATCGCTGTTAGCAGACTGTGGCTGCTGGGAAGGCCGTTTCTTCTTCGTTTCGTCGAGTCAAGAGGAGGCCAGTTTGTGCAGTCTTTCCGGTCGCAAAAGCGTTGTTGGAGCGAGTAAATATCAACTCTTCTAGTTTCAAGGACATCGTCTGGAGGCTCCTGGGGGTGATGATATTGATGCTAATTAACATGGTGGATTAGTGAATTCCACTGCAGAGATCGACCTCTATGGTATGTATAGATATATGCCTTTCCGGTGAAGTGAGTGCGGATGCTAATATCGATATAACAGAGGTTTTGAATCTTGACAGGTCTGCGTCAAAGGACGAGATCAGAAAGGCTTATCGAAAGGTACGATACGGCATTTTTATGAGACGAGCGGGCTGTGGACGATGTTGCTGACCAGGACGATTATCATGAAATAGCTAGCACTTCAGTATCACCCTGACAAAGTCCAGGAAGATGGACGAAAGGAAGCAGAGATAAAATTCAAGGCCGTCAGCCAGGCATACGAGATCCTCTACGACGAAGAGAAGAGACACGTCTACGACACTCATGGCATGTCCGCATTCAACGGCTCCGGCCGACCAGGTGGCATGGGCGGTGGCCCGGATCTGGATGATATTCTGGCCTCCATGTTTGGCATGAATATGGGAGGAGGAGGAGGAATGCCTGGCTTTGATCCAAGAGGCGGTGGACCGGGAAGACGTCGAAAGGGACCCAACGAGGAACAACAGTACACTGTTAGTCTAGAGGACCTTTACAAAGGCAGGACTGTCAAGTTCGCCAGTACCAAGAACATCATTTGCACCCTGTGCAAAGGAAAAGGAGGCAAAGAAAAGGCCATTGCTAAAAAATGTTCATCTTGTGGAGGCCAGGGTATGATACTAGTCTTTCTTCCTTTCCTTTCTTTTCATTCTACAAGATGGTAGTTGCTAATGTAAAAAATTAAACAGGACAAAAGGAGACCTTGGTACAGATCGGACCGGGCCTTGTCACCCAGTCGCTGATGAGATGTACTACCTGCGATGGTGCTGGCTCCTTCTTCCAGCCAAAGGACAAGTGCAAGAAATGCAAGGGAAAGAAGGTCACTGAGGAAAAGAAGATACTCGAAATCTACATCCCTCGAGGTGCAAAGTATGTATATGGCACACCCTTATCTCTTCGGAATTTTCCATTACTGACAAAATATATAGGGAAGGAGAGAAAATTGTCCTTGAGGGTGAAGGTGACCAGCAGCCCGATATTGAACCCGGAGATATCATATTTCACTTAGAGCAGGCCGAACACAAGACTTTTAAACGTGACGGTGCCGACCTATCTGCTACACTGGAAGTTACTCTCGCAGAGGCACTCTGTGGATTTTCCCGTGTTGTTGTGAAACATCTCGACGGAAGAGGCATTGAAATCAAGCATCCTCAGAAACCAGGCGACGTTCTCCGCCCCGGCCAAGTTTTGAAAGTCGCTGGTGAAGGTATGCCATTCAAGCGCGGTGATGCGCGCGGTGACCTCTACCTAGTCGTTGAGATCAAATTCCCTGAAGATGGCTGGGCTTTAAACCCTGCAGCCTTGAGCCAGTTGCGGGAGCTGCTTCCCACCAATAAGGCACCAGCAATCGAAGCCGACACCGTTGACGAGGTAGAATTTGATCCCAAGGCCAGTCTCGATGACATGGGCGAAAACGATCCTCAAGGAGGCGGCGCCTGGGTTGACGAAGATGAGGATGATGGAGAAGGAGGCGCTCAATGTGCTACCCAATAGTCCAAATCCCACACATATTACCAACACTTATCACCAGACTGGACGGAAATGGCTGGTTTTCCTTTATATTAATCTTCTCCTTGTTATTACCTTTTTAGCCACTACCTGCTGTTTTGGCACTCATGACTTCACCTTGATGACTTGCTAGATAAAGACACGACTTGTTATCGGAGATCAGGATTTGGGCGTTTGGGCAAGAAAAAAATAACAAATTGGTTCGACTCCTTTTTTTCCCGCTTCTACTTAGAGCCTGGTGGGATTGTATTTCATGAATTTGGCCAGCATAGATAATGGAACCGAGATTAGCTGTGATGTCAAAAGAATATATCCTACAACTTGGAAGTCTCACTTCTTCTTTCAAGTACTAATCTCTCCAGCCCCTTTCGAATAGTTGCCTCCATGCCAGCTGAAGTAGGCTTCATATCTTGTTTCCGTACAAATACATGTGTAAATCCACCAACGACTTTGACAGCTTCCTCGCCCTGTCTAAACACTCCAACCTCGTACGTTACGCTGGATTTACCTAACTTAACCACGCGGAGGCCTAGGTCGAGCACATCTGGAAAGGCAACGGAGGCAAAATAGTCACAATACGATGAAACCACAAGGCCGACCTGCGTTGATTCAGCAGCGGTTGTTATCTGTAATGAGTCGGTGGTGAATGGGTTGAGACCGCAGTGGGATATCAGGTATGAATTTATGATGGAATCGAAAAGGAACGCGTATATACTGTTGTTTAGATGTGAATACATATCGTTATCGGACCTTTATTCTTATAATATTAGCGAGTGTTCAATTATTTGGGCTTGAGCAGAAATACACATTTACCATCTTGTACGGTATTCCAGGTGATATGGATAGTCTTTCCTTATCCTGGCTTTCTTGTTATGTATCTCGTTACTCATAATAGCAGTCTATCTTCTTTGCATCTGCCTTTCATGCTCTGGTTTTATTTGTATTGAAAAAAAGATTCTTTCAATGTCCAAATTCACAGTTGAACCAGAAGTCATGATAAAGTTAAGCCGAGGCTCTTTTCTTATCAGATAAGATCTATTACATAATAAACGTCCTGAAATAAGTTTTGTATTCACGTGATCAATATAGAGATCCGGAAGATGAAAAAATGAAGTCGAAGTCGACTTGCATCTATAATTTTTTGTTTTTGTTAGAAGAGTGATTGTCTGTCAGCGTTGCTATCTTGTTGGTTTATTTTAGACAGTCTCTTTTTCCCGCTTATTATTTACCCCTGGCGCCCTCACTGCGCGCCTTAGCCTACGTGGTGCGGCGAGGTTTCCATTCCCCTCCAGCCATGGCTCTCACAACCTATGAAGAAGCGAAACCAGAACCCGAAGTCTTTAAAGAGCCTCCTGAAGTTGTAGTCACGCCGTGCGATCCATGGCCGCGACCGTACTATGTCGAAAAAGGCTTGCTTCGCGTGGCTCCATACTACTACACTTATAATACCTATTGCAAAGAGAGATGGAGGGGAAAGAAATTATTAGAAATTTTTACTACGGAATTCAGAGATAGGCCGAAGGGATATTATGTTTGTCTTGCCCTTACTACCCCTCCTTTATATTCAGCAGTGAACAAAAACTAAAATAGTATCTATAGACGGATGCCATCGAAGGTGGTAGAATTACAATTGACGGGGTAATTGCTACGGCAGACAGCATAATAAACAACGGACAGGTCGTCTCGCATACATTGCACAGGCATGAGCCCCCTGTGACTAGCCTTCGGATTAAAATCATACATGAAGACAATGATATTATCGTTATCGACAAGCCCGCGGGTATACCAGTGCACCCAGCAGGAAGATACAACTACAATTCGATAGTTGAGATTATGCGAGCGGAGCGCGGACATGGCTGGAATCCGTATCCATGCAATAGGCTAGATAGGCTTACCTCTGGTATCATGTTTATTGGCAAGCATCCGAAGGCTGCGGAACAGATGGCCCAAGCTTTACGGTCACGAACTATTCAGAAAGAATATATTGCGCGAGTGAAAGGCTACTTCCCAGATGGAGTCGTGCTATGCGACCAGCCAATGCTGAAAGTCAGCCCGATTCTTGGGTTGAATCGCGTTAGGGCCTCGGGAAAGGAGGCTACAACAAAGTTTCGCAGGATAGCATATTACCCTCCTATGAAAAGGGCTGATAATCCGGATGAGACCAAGCCAGTGGTCTCACAGGACCCTGAGACGAGAGCTGCTACGCCCCCGCCTTCACCCGCCGACGTTGATGAAGGCTACAGTATTGTCCACTGTCTTCCACTGACAGGACGAACACATCAAATTCGAGTCCATCTTCAATTCCTTGGCCACCCAATCACAAACGACCCTATTTACTCAAACCGCCGTGTCTTCGGCACCAACCTGGGTAAATCCGAGAGCACAGGCGAGAATGACGAAGAGATAATAGCGCGCCTATCTCGCATGGGCAAAACTGAACCAGCGGATTCTCTCTGCTACCAAACATTCCAAACCCCGCCCCCGGAGCGTGTTACCAAAGGTGGTGACCCAGATGTTGTTAACGAACTTCTAGCTCGTGAGCATGACGTTATGATAAATGACTATTTAAGGAGAAAAGGCGAAAAGATGAATGGAGAACACTGTGACATATGTGGAACTGAACTGTACTCTGACCCGGGCGTGCATGAGTTAGGTATATTCCTTCATGCTGTCGCATATTCAGATATGACTGGAAAATGGAAATACAGGAGCCAGATGCCTCAGTGGGCTATGCCCCCTGAAGGGGTCGAGGGACCAAGGGAAGCCCCTGAATGGACAGAAGACAAAGATGGTGCTGTTGTTATTGGAAAGGGTATGATGGAAGATGATGAAACGGCGTTGGTAGAGGGTCTGGGAACTATTAACTTGACAAAGCTGGCGCAAGAGAGTGTGGAACCTGAGCCTATTGCGTCTAATGGTTAAGCGATGCACTGGTTTTCTCATGTATAGATCTGGTTGAATATTTGCATATAAAATAAAATACATCGTGAGTGATTCAATATACCATGTACAATGTGGAGATGGAAGAATTCACATGTATATTTAATGCTAACAAACCGGCAGTGTACTATGCTACCAGTGAACAAATCATACGCATGAAGAAGTATGCTCCCTATTCGCAAGGAAATATCAAGCCAGTCTTTCCAGGGCTTATCGCTAATAAGGAGGAGCCTATCGGATATATGGATCAAAGCCGTATTTTGGCGTGAGTCTTTGGAGTGAGAATCGGGTAATTTATTCATTTTTTTTTTAAATTCATCTAACCCAACCCTGGTAGGAAAACCACGTTTCCTAGTGTAGAACAAGGACGAAGATTAAGAGGTTCATGACAACACCCAGTTCTCCCCAACCGCCCAGCAAACAAACGAAGAAACAGGAAAGCGTTTACGATTCGGTCGTTAGTCTGCCCTTAGCGTTCGTGACCTTGACACCGAGAGCCTTAGCCTTAGCAATGATATCAACTCGCTTGGCGGAAGAAACAGCATGGCCGATCCTAAAGAAGTAAAAGAAGTAATTAGATATGATCGATGATAGGCATGGCCTCTTCTTCGAACGAGGTAGAGTCCTCAACTGGTTCCGGGTTCGTGGGAGAAACGTACTCAGCGGCGTATGTGCGGTTGTGCATGAGCAATAGTTCCACGTCCTTGGGGTTCTGGACAAGGAACACCTTGTGTCCGGATGGGATCATGTGGCGGGTCTTCTTGTTGCTACCGTATCCAATCTATTCAGGTAAACCATGCATCAGTATGACATCCCACTCAATCTAGAATTCAAACTTGTGTCGCCAAGTTGCAATATCGTTGTTCGACTAGTGTTTTTTCTTCGTGGAGTTCAGGGTGATAAGGGGTGAATGGCGGATGAAACGTACTTTTGGCATAGCAGCCTGGCCGGAGAATCGTCGGCGGACACGGTTGTCAATACCCTTTGGTTTGCGCCATGAAGCACCAACACGCATGTACGTATCCGACTGGTGTCGGTTGAAGCGGTTCTTGTCTGTATTCCCATAACAAATCCAATCAGCTCATATCCTTTTATATGTATCGACCTTTTTCATCCCAGCAGTGAGCCATTCTCAACAGCTCATGCGCCAATGTTCCGCACATAAACAGCGATATTCCCGAGCATAAATAATTCGAATCGACGGTTGGGATAGCTGGAGGGATAGAGATTCGAGATAGACGTACGCTTCTTCACAATCGGGACATGCTTCTTTGCGGCGACCATCTGGTGAAAAAGAAGGGATAAGTTAGCTCAAACAGGCTCCGTAAGAGACGATTAGAGGAGGACATCCTCGAGGAAGAACGCACCTTGACTGATGTTACGGCGTCCCGAAGCTACTGGTTGGGTGATGATTCTTCGATAATGTCGTCGTCGAAAAAGAGAGAAATTTGAAGATTGCCCGCAGTCGCTTTTCCAAGGTCGCACTTCCCGTTGTGGATTAGCGCGCTTGTTTCTAAGCGAGGAAGAAAAAAGAACTAGGGTTGCTGACTAAAAGCCCTACCTTTTATGATTAGTCATATCACATGATATTTGTATAACGTAATCAGTTATATCTTTGGATGAAAAACAGCAGAAATAAACATGAGTTTGATATTGATAAACCAGTGTTGATAGAGGGGGAAAAAACGCCAGGATACCCAGACTCCCCGTCTTCCCTTAACCCATCAAAATGCAGCATACCCATAGTGGTGGTTCAGGTGAATAGTTAAAACAAAAACATATCGCATAACAATCATAATACAATAGGTCAAATCATCCGCCCAAGGTCACAGTCGAGAATCGAACCCGGCCTGGACGGCTATGGACTGCCTATCAAGCCCTTTACCCTCTCGACTCGCTCGACGGCTTTCTCCAGACGTTCGAGCCTTGCCCTCTTCTCCTTGTCCCGCTTCTCCAGCACCTGGACACGCTCCTCGAGCTTAGCTCTCTCCCTTCGTTCGTTCGCGACCATCTCGTTCGCCCGCATGAACAGCTCGGCACTCAGCTCTTCAAGTTCAGTATTTGCTTGCGTGAGGCGCGACTCTGCCTCCCTGCGAAGCGCCTGTTCGCGATCCAGGGCGCCTTGGAGAAAACTTGTTGGCTGCGGTAAGGGATTGTTGTTGAAAGAGTTCATGTTGGAATGTACGGCATCCTTGCCTGATGACGGGGGGGAAGAGGACGATGATGACTGCGGTACTGAGTTTGAAGATACAGATTGGCGGGACTGGGCAGCGCTGGCGTTACTGCTTGTCCGTCGGCCGTAGGGAAAGTATGAGGCGAGCGTTGCCAGTCTAGTCTGTTGCTGTGGAGGAGAGGAGGATTGCTGTTGCAGCGACTGCCGGTCTAGATTCTGGGCTGGTAGTGACGATGTAGGCTTTGACGGGGTTTGCGATTTGCGGCGACCAGTCTGTAGTCCATCCTGGTAGTCGGCTAGTTTCTCAGCTAGAAGTAGAAGAATACAGATGTGTTTATGATCAGCTTCGTTTCCCCGATCAGGAGAACTCGGTCCATATGGAACAGGACGTACCAGAGACGGCAGCCTTTTCAGTCAAGAGCCTCGCCTGCGCCTCCAACTCTTCTATCCGCCTCTGCTGAGCTATGTTCCTCTCCTGCAGCTGTCGAAATGCGCCTTCAAAACCACATCTTGGGCAACCTGCGTGTGAGAGGGTCTGCGCATCGCCATAGTCGCCAGCTCCCGCACCGGGAGCACCCAAGGAGTGCGGCCCAATAAGTGTAGGCGAAACTGCTGCTGTAGACATGTGCTTTTACCGTCCTTGAAAAGAAAAAGTCGATTCTCCAAGTATCGTTCACGGGCTATTGCTGATGTTATAGTATAGGAGTCGCATAACCGCCCACTACATGCGAACAGTCGCCGCAAGGACCAGGGTCCCTTTTTGGTCGCAGTAAACCAGGTCGAGAGAGAACCGGGGGAAACCTATGTAGGACTTTGTATGTATATCTGCATTAGTTATTTGATTTGCGTCTGGGGAAGATTGACAAGTCGACCGCAAGATGCGATCTTCAACCAAAAGCGCGAGCTTCTTCTTTTTTACCTTTTATGAAACGTGGTGAGAAAAGAAGCTAAAGCAAGCCACAGTTTCATGCAAGGAGGAAAAACGAAGGCCTGGACAGACAAACCTGAAGCCTCCGGTGTTTTCTTTTCTTCTGATGATACAGGAAGTTGGCTACTTGGACGGTGAGTATCACAGGAGAGGAATAGGGCCCTTTTTTGCTAGGATGTAGCCGACGATATCATATGTAACAACTTCGCCCCCTCGAACTCGGAAATACAAGATAGAATCTGGCTTCAATAATACCATACATGTTCTTCTTCTACTAGTTGGCAGTGATTAGAGACTAGGCCAGAGTATTATATATTGAAAACCAATCATTAAATGAACTCCTCTATCCTACTTCAAACTATTAAAAAGCTTTTCCTTCCCAAGACGAGCGAGACAGCAGACTAGAAGGGGTGAAAAAAAGAGAAGGAAAAGAAATGGATTTCGGATATAGGAAAATACAGCTAATTTTAAAGAAGAACAGGCAGAATGTACGGAAGGGAAAGCTGATCAGACTCGTAAAGAAAAGGCGTTAGTTACATGCATGCGCAAATCTTAGACCAAAGGAAAGGCCGCCGGTCTCATAGCAGATACTTGCAAAAGGGCAGCTTTCCAGGCAGAGGCAAAGGGCGACGGCCATTGTTGCTTCAACGAGACAGTCAATTTCAGAAGAAAGCTCAAGTGCTAGACGAAGGCAAATAACCGGAATGCCTCAAAATTGGGGGGCAAGTAGGGTTTTTTTTCTGTTCTTTCTCAGGGAAACCGAAGATGAACCCTTAACACCAGCTATGCTTTGGCGAATATGTGGCTGCTGAAATGGCCGACATAGCAAGATGGAATGCACTCGTTTAATGCCCAGGTTGTAAGTGTTGACCCCCAAACACCAATGTGAAGACTATACCAGTAAAGATGCGCGAGAAAGGATCTGGATAATCGAGTCCGAAGGAAAGCGTCATGCACAGCATAAAGAGTACATGGGAAGCGACGAAGAAAACCGTCAAGCCTTTTCGAGTCAGTCTCAATCAAAACGCTAGAGAGTCAGTAAGTCATGCAGACAATAAAGAAACAAGGACAAGGAACCGTTGTGCATTTTTGGGGTGGCTTGACATGACAGCGTGAAATAAAAGGCTTTGAATCACCCGTGAAGAACAAGATGTAAAAAGGGCTGGGAGGATATGTTGCAAGACGGCCGGGCGCAAGGAGATCAAATCCCACCTCCTCTTTCATATCACATTAGCCAAAAATAACAAGAATACGAAAAGGGGAAATAAAAGGGCGCGTGGATGGAAGAAGAAATATCGGGAAGGGAGGTGATTTTGGATGTCAAGTAAAGTCCGTTAATGTAAGGAAGAAACCGCGTCATCATTTCGGGAACATTGAAAGACATGCAACTGAGTTGCTCATTATGATAATAAGGCAGGAAGTCGATGAAGAGAGGAACAGCAGAATGAGGCTAATATTAGCAATTCCGCGTACGGCTTGGTGTTCGACAGATGGGAAATATGGGACAAACTAGCATCATATTCCATAATTCGGCCAGGCTCGCAATTCTCTTGCGTAGACTTCTCTGCTGATATTGGGTATTGAAAGAGGTCGGCATTTAGGAAGCCTGGCCACGATTGTACTGGTTTCCACGGCGGACGTTCTTTTGTTTGGCGCTGACGGTGCTCCATCCATCTTCGTCTGGGGTAGCAGGCGAGGCCGGAGATGCGGCTTCGGCTGGTGGGCCACGGTGAGAAGTGCTGCGAGACCCCCCGCGGCTGTGAGGTGGGCCACCACGGCCTCGTCCGCCGCCATTTCGCCAGCCACTGCTCGTACGGCTTTGTAATTGTGGGCGGCTCTTTTCCGGGCCACTGTCAGCCTTCTGTGCGCCAGTTCCCTTTTCACCGTCAGCAGCAGCTTTCTCTTCACCTTCTTCGCGTCTAAGAATTTCGACAGATTTTTCCCCTTCTGGGGTATCTTCCTTTGCACCGTTTGCCTCTGCTTTCTCGGCCTCTTCCTTAGCGGCCTTTTCTGCCTTCTGCTTCTCTATGCGCTCAGCCTTGGCCTTCTCATCAGCCTCTTTCTTCTGCTGTAAGGCCAATTCCCTCTTCTCGGCCACTTCCTTCTCTCTGGAGGCAGTATCGATAGGCTTAGCGCCTCCAAAGATACTAGACTTAGTTTCAGTAGCCGCTGGGGGCGTTGCAGTCCCCTCTGGCTCAGGAATCGTCCTCTTTTGCAGGTTGAGTCTTGGCCTCGACCCAGGAGCAGGGGCTGCACCAGTTGTTGGAGTTGGTGGCTCAACAGGAGTTTCCGGCTGAGCAGGCGCATCTGGTCGCATTCTAGCTCGCCATTGGTTATCGAGCTCTGGTGCAGTTGGAGCTCTTTCTGGGACAGGACGCTCAGTAAATTCTCGGCGGGGTGGTCGAGAACCATCTTGTGAGCGGCCTTCGCCCCAGGCAGGGGAGGCTCTGCGGAACTGAGGGCCTTCCTTGCTGTTGGGGCGGCCTTCCCTGGCGGGAGGGTTCTGGAGGCTAGGAGAAAGAGGTCCTTTTCTCTCCCAGTTGGAAAAGTCGCGCGACCTACCGTCGTTAGCTGCTTCATAGCCACGTCGGCCAACGCGATCACTTCCAACTTCAGAAACAGGGCCGCCAAAACCAGCTCGGTCTGAAACACGTCTTTGGCCCGGGAGCTCTGGGAGCGGGCCCTTTCGAGTCCAGTCGCTGAGATCTCTAGCTTCATGTCGATCCTTGGCTAGACACAAATGTCAGTTAATACGGTTGCAAAAGCGGAATCACCAGTTGTTAGCAGAGGGTGACATACGAGGTTCCGCGATGCTCACTCGAATATTTCGTCCCTGAAGTGAGGTACCCTGGAATGTGAGTGCTTTCTTGAGGCCATCTACAGAGGCAAATTCAACGTAGCCAAAGCCTTTGGGGGATCCGGTAAGTTTGTCCTCTACAATGCGAACACTGGTAACCTCACACTCAGCGAAGAGCTCCTGGATATCGGCCTGGGTGGCCTCGAAGGAAAGGTTACCGATATGTGCGGTGTATGGAGGTTGGGTTGGCATAGGGAGTTCTTCCCTCGTGTGGTAGCTACGCTCTAACCCACCCGTTAGCATAATATGCGAGATATAGCAGAAGTCCCTGATATTCATACCAGTATGCTCTTGAGCATAACCACCAGATGTTCCATAGGTGTTACGTTCTCCGCCATAACCAGAACGGGGTGCGTAAGACGGCACTGATTATCGAATATATATTAGGAGTGGCTTGAGTGCGGATATCGAGATGGCATAACTCACCAGCTATATGGGAATAAAAGGTCAGAGATAATCTTAACATCGTTGAAATCGTATAGGAAAGGGGTAAAAAGCACTTACATGGGATAGGATTATCCTCCATCTCATCCGCCCAGGAGCCATAGGCTGTTATCATGACAGTTAGCAAGTTGACCTCCCACTCACTCCCCCTCCCCTCTCTCGGGGCTCTTCCCCCCATGGTCGATCAAAACTCACTTTCATCAGCCAGAAAGGTCCCAATGGACATCTTCTGGGCTTTCGACTTTGCAGGAGCTAGAAATGTATTAGTTAGCGATGCAAAACCCCTTTGACTATACCCTCTGAGTCCGGACTCTTAGTGGTGTGTGGATGGTGAACCAACCCATGATTGCGATTAACAGGAACGCGCAATAGCGGTGCGCGTTAGTAGCCTAAAAGGAAAGCCTATGGATATACAGATCCCTAGGCAGCAACAAGTGTAGCCTGTCTTTCTCTGTAGCTGTGATGTGTGATCTTATCAGTCAAGACGACGTGGAAGACCAAAGAGCGAAACAGTGTCTTTTTTAGCCAAAACGATAAATTTTGGCGATGACGCTAAAATGAAGGAAAGAAAAAAAAAAGTCGTGCGTGAAGAGAAACTGGCCAATCAAGAGGCGAGGAACAGATACTGATTATATAATCACGGCATCTAGGGTTGGATAGCAACAATATTGAATATAAAAGAATAAATATTAGGAGTAAAGATAATAATGGTAGACGCAAGATAAAAGGTAGATATATCAAATATGTGTATACTTAAGCTAACGACAGCATGATATACATTGCTGTCCACTGAAATAGAAATAGTAATGCGGCTCGTTTAGTATAAATAAAGATATGTCAGTATGCTTCAGTTGGCAACATCTGGCCTCCGGTAGAGAATGTTTTTTTCAGGAGGCATGGCAAGGGACACAATGCTAGGCAGATAATAAACGAAAGTGACACCTGCAAGCATTACGAGCTCATCAGAGTGACAATGTAGTAAAGTCAAATCTGTCTGGCAATACATACCCCAAAGAGCATAAGGAGGCAAAGTTACCTATATAAGTAGCGGCTCATTTCTGCCAACTCTCTCTTCTTGAGTAAGACCTACCATCTGCATACTTTCAGGATATACCACCAGCCATTCTAAAATACTACTAACAATCTTCTATATTTATAGATAGAGTAACCAGCAAGCCTAATACTTATATATAAGTATATCCACTCCAAATGCAAAGGTACACTGCTCCTCTGTCGACCGTTCAACCCCATAAGTTCATATATATATAATATGAAGCGGCCATCTTATCTTATCAGATCGGCGCTTGGCTCCAAAAAGAAAAACCTTATCTCCACCTCAGTCGTTCAAAGTCTTGGCAGTAAACTCGACTTTCAACGGCAAAAGAGGATGAGGGCGAGGACACCGATTATGTGTTTCGTAGTTTATATGAAGAGGAAGGCTAGTGCTTGGGGTATACCGAAAACTTGCCTGTAATTTCTTTAGATATTTGAAAAAGCAAGGGAAGGGCGAAGAGGGACTGGGCCTGTTACCCTAACCAGGTTTGTTCTACTATGCCACCAGTAAAGAAGCTGTCTATTTCATATATCTTTTGGACTCCAGCTATGGGCCATGACTCTGTATTTGCTTGTATGCATAAGTTACTGAAGAACTTGTGAGTGTGCAGTATCCAATCAGAAGATTGCATAAGCCATGACTAAGCATAATCAACTGCGTCTGGAAACTTGAGCTGCTCAGAAAACGAATATTTGGACAAGAAACAGGCAGATTCACCCATACGATGCATGCAATATGAGTGAAAAAGACCAGCCGAGCGCACCTCACACCTCTGTAGTGGTGCCATCAGCCTTGCAAGCCGGCGGTCTGGGCGGTAGGTACCTCATTTTTGGCTTACCATTGTTTGACAGACATTTAATATTAATATGTTCATTATAATCCAGGTGCCTGCGGTCTTCTCTATGGTGGTGTGTCAGGAGTTCTTCAGGCCCGTCATCCCATAATTAAGTCCATATCTACTGGGGTCTATTGGTTTGCATTTGGTAGCTCGTTTTGGTGTAAGCACACAACCCCCAAGACAACAAACATTTATATTAACCAAATGTCCCAAAAGGGTTGAGGAGTAATATCCTTAGAGCTCAATTTGAAGACAATGCAACTTCAAGAGAATGCATTTATTCATCCGTCGCGGCCGGTGGTCTATCTGGAGGAGCGGTCAATTGGGCAGTTAGTAAGTATTCAACCCATAAAATCACTACACTCTACGTCCACCTCGACGGCAGATTTATCCATAAGCCAACCTATGTATTAACAAGATGAATAATAGACCGACGATTCCTCCCTGGTCTGGTCGCATGTTCTATACTAGGCCTTGTGGGGCAATATTCCTACAATAAGCTTGAGGAACGTCAGACACGACTAGAATTAGAGCCTGCCTCGTCGAAAACATGGGCCGAACGGATAGCAGATTCCCGATGGGTACCAATCAAAAATTTGTCCGATGAGCAGTATAAGAATATGCTCCAGGAAAAACTGCTTGGTGTCGATGTAGAAATTGCATTGATTGATGACAAGCTGAAAGCATTGAGGGCGTCTGATGGCGGAAAAGAGGGCTCAGATAAATAGAATGTAATCTTGGGATGTTTTGACTTCCTTATGTGTACGATATCTTGTTCCATAGCATAATCCAGCCTGTTTTGCACAGCCTCGGCAAACTGCCGGGCTCGATGGTACGCTTTGGTGACTGTGGCCGCTCCAAAACCATCCGCTGTCACACACAGGGCCGCCGTTGTAGTGGCCTAACGGCTATAAAGCTAAATATACTCGCCCGAAAGATAATCGTATCGGCGGATTCAAGGGTCATTTATATATCTGTATTTCAAATTGATTACGAGGAATTACATGCTAACTTCTAAAGGGCGTGGGTTATCTAAGAGAACAGGGGTTGGCGAAATAACCTTGCTAATATATTTTGCGAACCCCATTCTACAAACCCCGAATACCAAATATCCCATATTCAACTAGCAATACCCAAAGACAATATAGGACGATGGCCTCTACGTCAGCAGAACCGAAAAGGAAGCCTCGCGTGCTAAGCTTAGGCACAATAAACCACATGGAAGACGATTATCTCGCAGAGTTTCAAAAGGGGTTTGACTTATCCGTACTCAAGAGCTGCCCCCGAGGGGAGCTGAAGGGTCGATTGGAAGAGAACATCAAGAAACATGGCCCGGTCGATGCCTTTATCATCGGACCAGATAGCATACCATATTATCCGTTCGACGAAGACCTCCTCTCGCCTCTGCTACCAGGTTGCAAAATAATTTCTAGCATTACTTCTGGCTATAACATGTTCTCTGTAGATTGGATTACGAAGCAGGGAATCTGGCTTACAAGCACGCTGGATGCCGTTGCAGAACCTACCGCTGATATGGCCCTGTTTCTACTTCTGGCCGTGTTTCGAAACACAACAAATGCGGAAAAGAGTGCAAGGGCGGGAACCTGGAGAAATAATCTGAATCCAACCCACGACCCTTCAGGATGCACACTGGGCATCGTTGGGCTAGGCGCAATTGGAAAGGTTGGTGAATTCATAACACTGTTTGTGGCTATCGCATATGTACTTACTTCCTTCTAGTATCTGGCTAAAAAGGCTGCAGCATTTAATATGAAAGTCATATACCATAACCGAACTCAGCTGCCGAGGGATGTTGAGTCCAAATATGGGGTAACATATTATGCCTCGTTACACAACATGCTTGCGGTATCTGATGCAGTTTCTATCTGCTGCCCTTTGACCGAGAATACCAGAGGATTAATTGGACCAAAGGAGTTTGCAGCAATGAAGGATGGCGCCTATCTAGTCAACACAGCCCGTGGGCCAATTGTGGATGAAAAGAGCTTGATTGAAGCCCTTGAAAGCGGGAAGATAACTCGAGCAGGCCTCGACGTCTTTAACGAGGAGCCGGACTTTAATCCGTACTTTAGAACCAGTGACAAGGTCATAATTCAGCCTCATCTAGCAGGTTTAACAGACATGGCAGTTCGAAGGGCAGGGAGGGAATGCTTTGAGAATGTCTATGCTCTGTTTCGAACGGGTAGGCCACTATCGCCCGTGGTTGATATTGAGCATTCAACTTAAGGGCTAGGTTAATAGTGCTGGAACTTTCGTACTTCATATAGCAGATAAGATGTGAACAAAATAGATGTTATGGTGAGAAAATTCTACCGAAATTTCTGTTTATCTGTGACTTGATATTGATCGTATGTTTCTGCTTATCAAAATCCATCCAAATAGTTCTATCGGGATCATCTTAATGACCATCATATTCCTAGAGTGCCATACCAAGACACCATGTATAGCTCGGATATACTCTATGAGGATAGCACTCGGAGGATATTTATCATTAAGAAATGAGTTTAGATGTGGCTGACACAGCTTCGGATCAAATTTTTCTATAGTACCAAAGGAATTTGGACAACGAATCGTGGTTGTTCAAGAAAGAAAACTCCTTGACTTGGTTACTGTGGTTGCCTTGTTTGCAGTGTTTGTTCGAGGAAGTCATTTAAACTAAAGAATACGCATGGTTACGTCTACCTATCGTTAAGGATATACACTACGATATCTCAGTGCATTAAATACCATGGCAGAAGAGCCCCAGACGACCGAAGAAACAAAGGATCGCAAACAGGAGAGAAATGCCTGTATGGCGCATACCCTCTAGAAACCTCCCGTCAAGGGCAGGCAGTACTAATCGATACCACGACAGTCACCGAATTAATGGCTCCCAGACCAAAGCGAGCAGCGTCTTCGCCCATCGAGCCAAGGCCCTCTCGCCACAAACCTTTCAAGAACCGTGACGGTCTCGGAGCCTACATCGGAGCTCCCGAGTCCTTCTCCGCATCAACAGTAGTGTCCCATTCGGCCGATTTCGTGGTAATCAACGACCTCTACCCCAAGTCCGCAGTGCACCTACTCATCCTCCCTCGAGATCCGAGTAAGTTCTACCAGCACCCGATTGACGCCTTCGAGGATGAAAAGTTCCTCGAGAGCGTACGAAGAGAGGCCAGTCGGGTGCGGAAACAAGCTGCTTCAGAACTGCGGCGGAAGTTCGGTAGATTTTCGGCTCTGGATCAGGCGAGGAGTGAGGCGCTTGATGCTGATGCTGATCCGGTGCCCGAGGAGCTACCGGACGGGCGGGATTGGGAGAAGGAGATAATGTGTGGGATCCATGCGAATCCGTCTATGGACCATCTGCATGTTCATGTTATCTCTGTAGATAGGTGTGGGGGTAGTCTAAGGCATAGGAAGCATTATAACAGCTTTTCTACGCCGTTTTTTATCAAGATTGATGCGTTTCCGCTTGCAGAGGACGATAACCGCAGGCACCCCGATAGGGAAGGGTATCTAAAGTCGGATTTAAAATGTTGGAGGTGTCACCGCAATTTTGGGAATAAGTTTACGCAGCTGAAGGCACATTTAGAGGAAGAGTTGGAGGAATGGAAACGGATCTAGAGGATGTTTCTTCACTCCATCGCTACTGTAGCAGAAGAAATCTATTAAATGAAGAATCTGATTAATGCACCTATTACCCCCTGTAACTAAAGATTAAAGCCTTATCTGCGCCAAACAACTCAACTAATAACGACGGGAAGAGGAAGAAGAAAGATAATAAGCCGCCTGCGCCAGTGACTCCGGAGTTCCATACCAAAAAAGAAAAAAAGATTTTGTAGAAAGAGAGCAACGAAGACCCCCTAGGCGGAAGAATGAGATGAATCGGTGGACTGGGCGGCCATATCTTAAAAGCGTAGTAAAGAAAAACGGCGAATAAAAGGGTATAAGGAGCGTAGGCAGGTAGCATAAAAGAAGAATAGAATGCAAAAAGTGGGAGATCCCGGAATCCCACAGTGTGCTTGAATGGTCGTTAAAAGATCATAAGATGTCTCGACCTTCGAACAAAGGGTGGAAGGCAGGGGTGGGTGAATGAGAAAAGATATACTCCCCTCCTTCACAACCGCTTGGAGCTAGCCCGGCGATCTAGCATGGACCAAAGGCTAGAACCTTCATGGACCTCAGGGAGGCGGTAGCCATTTAACATTTCGTTCTCGACGAAGATTGAGGCGCGTTTGAATTTTCGGTCGGCGTACTTCTCGTAGATGGCTAGGTGGTGTTGCTGTGGAAATTCGCAGCATTCAAGAATAAGACCAATCAGCTGGTAGAGCTGGCCGAATGTGTAGCCCGAATAGTAGACATGAGCAGGAGTCTAGACAGAGCAGGTTAGAAAGAGGCAAATGTAGAAAGATTAAAAAGGACACGCATACCCATTCCCCTTTTCTCAGCATCAACCTGGCTAGGCAATGAGCTCCAGCAGCAGTAAAACTGGGTGGTGTACCAACGAATCGCTCGTCCATTATTGTGAGTTCCAGGAAGTATTTTGCGAGCGTGCGTGTTTCCAGGTCGTAATCATCGGCCTTGCTGATTCGACGAAGGAAACTCATTGGGCCAGGCCATCCAAGTTCAAACTGAAGCATACTTAACATGAACCGTTCGGCCTTGAGTATCTCCTCGACCGTGTATCCATTCTCCACCATGTAGACAATCTCCTGGACGGAAGGACAGTTAATCTCTTCGTACTTGGCAGCAATGAAAATGGCAGTAGCGCCGACAAGTTGGAGCTTGCCAAGAGAGACAATTTTGCAGGACAAAAAGCGGTCGATGTAGTTGACGCAGAGAAAGAGGGTCTCGGGCAGGAGAGAGAAGCGATGGTGGACCTGGACCAGCCAGTCCATCAAGACGGAACGCATGGACCACTGGATCTCTGCTTGGTTGTCCATGTAATGGGCATTGGGCAAGAGTTTTATCTGCAAATGGCATTAGCAAATGGCTTATAATGCCAAACGACAAGGGTTAAACATACCTCGAGCTCCCTTAGGTACTGAAAGATTTCTTCTCCATATTCGGATACCATGGTAGTATCCCGCCATTCTTCTTCATACTCTTCGAGGGAGGTGGATGCTTCCATAATCTGGCTTGCAAGAGCGAGCTCGCGACGGGCTTGCTGGCTCATCTTGGGGAACAGCACCGTGGTTGCGCCGCAAGTGGTATTATCACGGGAGCGGCATGACCGGGCAGTCGCATAGCCATCTTCATCATAGTTGTCTTCCTCGTCCTCTTCCCAGTACTCCTCTGGTTCAGAATGCGCCAGTGAATGGTCGTATTTACGTAACGAGGCGGTGGCATCACTTGACCGTTTGGCCAACGGTCTTGGAGCTTTGACACTCTCGTTAGATACCCTGGTGCCCTTTGGCTTTGCCGCCTCGTTGGCGTCATTTGTGTCCTGCTTGGACACGGGAGGTCTAGTTTCAACGGCCGGCTTGACCACGGCTTCTTTAGTCGCGGATTCTTCAATGGTAACGCTTGTCGTAGTAGTCATCTTGGAGGCCTGAGCAGGAACAGACTCGGTACTGACAGCCTTTGGAGCATCTGTCGCGTCCTTGGGAGCTTTCTCAATCTCTTTGGATGAGTCAGCAGTCTTTGGCAATGTCTCATTCACTGAATCGAGTGCATTCGGTGCTTTGTCTTCCTGCTGTTGTTGCGAAGGTTGCTGCTTGGGTGCTACAGGCTCCTCGACGACCGGCTGAAGGATTGGATCTTTAAAGACAGCATTTGCACGTTTGGTCTGAACCTTTTTAGCCTGTGACTTTTCGGAGGCTGGCTTTGTACCGGCGTCCGAGTTAATGACGCTATTCACGGTTGGTTTGGCGCCAATAGAGTGAATAGGCCGCTGAGCTGGGCGAGCAAGACAAAGAGGCTTCTCAGTGATCTTGATGCTATCCTTGGAGGGAAGGGAGGAGTCATCCTTGGCTGATCGAAGGGAATTCACGGTATTGCTGACATCTCCAAAAGCGGCACGTCTCACGGGCTCCTTGTTGGCGGTACTGTTAGCTAGAGCTGACAATGCAGGCGTAGACTTGTTGCGGTGATGAATGGTCTTTCCAGCGCGGTTGAAAGCTATCGCGTTCTCATCAACCCGGCCGCGAAGGGTGCGAACTGGTCGCTGTGGCTGTTTATCAGATATACAATTAGTAAATGAGACGTTCAAGAGATAAATTGATGGCATGATGTGTGCAAATAAAAGCAGGGAGGTGGCGACTATCTAAAGGGGTTTTATACATACTTTTGCGTCCATGGCGAGCAGTCTGTTCGAATAGAGACGAGTAAGAGAGTCCAAAGCTCCTACTGTCCAGCTATCATCAATAAAATCTAATATCAATATCGAGATAATCTTCTTGTTGACAGTTTGTTTGTTGATAATCTAGAGAGTAATGAACCTGGTTTGTTCTCTGAGAAGGAAAGGAAAAAAAAAGGGATTCACGACCGCAGAGCCATGAAAACAGAAGAACAAGACGGCGTGCAAAGGCTTCGAGAGCTGGTTCAACCCACCCGCGTTCTGAATATCTCTCTTGGACAAGCGTCTGCCGTCTTTCGAGTGAGAGATAGACAGAAACAAGAAGAGGAACTGTCCTTCATGTGTTTTTCTTCTTCTTTTCTTGTTGATGGAAAGAGAAGAAAATAAACAAAGCTAGTCCGCATCCGGTTAGCGCCCGACGGAGGCCTGGCTTAGCAACCAAAGTCTTGGCGGATTACGTCATATAAATAGTTTCTCGACTTCGCGTCTTCCACGAGAGCCTCAAGAAGACATTTTCTCTTCTCCAGCGCGCGCAAGACAGGCTGAGTGCAAGATATTTTATCCACGGCCTGTGTCGACTTATGCGACAGGACTGGTATCTTTTTTACACACGGAAAAATTATGGGGTGGTGGTTGCAGGGGGCTTTGGGATGGAAGTCGGTTTTACGTGTCGAGAAACACGAAAAGACGCCAAAACACGTGACCCAACTTGGCCCATCTTGCGACGACGAAAAGCGATGAAAACAGCGAGAAGAGGACAAGCAAGCAACGACGAGGAGGTGGGAAGAACAGTTCAGGTGCCGGTGAGACATTGGAGGCAAGACACCTCCTGACGTCAAGGATGGGTTCGGTGACCCCCATTTTAAGTGCGGGATGGGCTGTTCGGCTTCGTCCCGGACGCTACCGACACAGCCTTCCCGCCAGGACGACGGTCAAGGGAAAAGAGAAGCTCGTCGCAAGGTCCTCACATAGGCTGGCACTGCCTCGAGGGGTCCCCTTCCCCATCGCACAACAGATAGAGACAGACAGCAGACAGGCAGACAGATAGAGAGACAGAAGAGAGAGAGAGAGAGATCCCTTCACCCTTTCGAGTCACAGGATCCATCGCAGCGCACAATATTCCGAGCCCGCGATCGCAGGATCTTGTGAGGGCCAAGCGGGTTTCACTTTTTTTTTTACAACAAACATGCATCTAGTCGCCTGCTCTAGCCTATTGTTGTCGCATTCATCACCTTAGCCATGGTGCCACCGGCTCTCGCAGCGTCGCCGCAGAGTCGCTCAGGCCCTTTCACCACCATTTCTCCAGTGTATATCGGATCGCCATTATATAAATATCAGTATCGGAGGTGCATACATGAGGGAAAACCCGAATATCATAGAAACCAGCGCTGGCGCAGTAGAATAGACCGCAGATAAAGCGGAGACACACCCATGCGACTCGCTATTGATGCCGGTTTGCGCCAGAGGGTAGCGAACAAGAACAGATATCTTTGACCGCGTGGATATACGGGGTTCTGGAGTCGCAAGGCGCGAAAGGCAAAGGACATACGACAGGATGATGATAGGGATAAAACAATCTCACCGACGCTGGAGTTCTGTTGGGCCGGTCTCTTTCGACGCTAGAAGAACCTGGTCCGGCGCTTGACAGCTGCTCTTCCACACGAACAACGCACCAGCCTAGATGGTGCCGGAACTGAAGTGGATTCTGGAGTCGGTTCATATAAGTCGACGGAGTATTATAGCCTCTTCTATCGGCCATGAGGATACGATATCTGCTCAGACTACTTCCCCCCCCCCCCCCATAAGCTTTTCTTTTGCTGGCTCCGTTGCGAAATCTCGAATGCCAAAGAGAGTCGGCGCATAAAGCAGTCACTTTTATAACCTTTGCTCACACTAGATCGCCAGCGCCACCACGATGCCATGGGATCTATCTCAACTATCGTCAAGCACGGCCAGCGGGAGGCAGGCGAGCAGGGCGAAACATGAAACTATTGACCGCCGTTGGTTGGTTGGGATTTGTTATTGGGTTGTTGCTTATTATTATTATTATCTCAGCTCCCTCTCCCTCTCCTGCTGCGGCCACGTCAGGGAACGAGGAGGACCGCCCTGTTCCTCGATCGCTCGGGTTACTCTTCAGCAAACCTTCTGACTCCTCTTTTCCTTCTCCATCCCTGCGCTACCGAGGACAGCTTCATAGTCTGTCTTTCTGAAGCCTGAAGGGGGATGTGAAGGACAGGGGAGGCCGGGGGAGAGAAGGTCAACCCGTCAAACACTTCCGGCGTACATGTGTTTGATATTGAACAACGCATTGAGGTTCCGCCCTGTCCTTGCGGATCGAAGAGAAGGAAAGGGAAAAGAAAAAAAAAAAAAGAACTAACACACACCCCCCTTGTTGCGCAGTGTGCCGCTGGGTTGAATTGAGCGTGGCCAACCCAAGCTGCAGAACTCGGGTGGATCGTCGCAAAGACATGGCAAATGGACCCAATCCTAGGCGCATTTGAGTTACAGGTTCACTCCCAGGATTAACGACGGGCTCTGCTTTCTCTAGAGAGGGAGAATAGAAGAACTTGCCCCGGGGAGAGAGAGGGACAGAGAGAGAGAGATGGGCGCCAGCTCATATACTTTCGGGCTGGCCCTTGTATACCGTTTGAAGGAACTAGTTTCCCGCCGATTCCAGATGGATACAAAGGGTTGGTCTCTCTTGCAAGAGACAGCAACAGTTCCAGATAGACCAGAGACGGTTTTGACAGAAGCAAATGACAACAGACTCAAGAGCGCATTAGCAGCCGCTATCATGAGGTGTAATTGGGCCTTTCTTTTTAGTTGCGCATAAAATAATCCTGACCGAGTTCTTCTTTGGCTTTTGGGCATCCGAGAGTCGCATAGAAGGTAGAAGAAAGCAGGATATTCGTCCTCTTATATATATAGAACAGTTTCATCAGCGCCGGTTAAGCGATTTCCTATTCTATTTCATTCTCATGATAAATAAGTATTATTCAAAGATAAATATCCCAGAGTAAAGTAAAAAACAAAAAAGACCAAACTGGGCCTTGAGGTGGTGGTGTGAAACCTCCTCCACCGTTCGTTCGCAAACCCTCAATCCACATCTTCCTCTTCTTCTTCTTCCTCCCTCGAACAACTCACAGCGTCGTCAAGGACGGAAAGCCGAATCCAACTGTGTGCTCTCTGCCATGGCCTGGTAGTAAGTACTCTCTCCTTCGCCCTGCCGTCCTTTTCTACTCTATATAACTTGCCGCTGATCTCCATTCTGTGACAGGACCCAGACATCTCACAGCGCCCCCCAAGGCCATCATCACCACCAGCACAGCATCCAGCGTCTGTCCCGACACCTTCGAGGAGACTCGCTTGAGTCTTGCGATCCATCCTTCATCGTCTTCTTCATCGGTAGGTATCTCCTTGGTCGTTGGTTTTCTCCAGCTGCCCCAGCCCTGCCATACCCGTCTCTCCCTCTGCTTCTCCGTTGGGCCATGTTTTCCCTATTGGAGCAACACACACACCTTTGTCTGTCTGTTCTGGAGCCTACTTCTGCCCTATTCACACATGGCAGGACACAATCATGCATCCTGATTCATTACATTTACTGCCTCGATGGCTAACTCGGTCTCCTCTACTGTTTTCTAGTCGCCTATAGTATAGAAATTTCCTCACCGGCACTTCCATCCAACCCAGCGAAATACCACCAGACACCATCACTCCTACCAAGCAAGGCCTGGCTGTCTGGCCAGATTATACACTCGATTAAATAATTCATCTGAGACACTCTCCTTGTCTGATTCTCCCTCCTGCTGCATGGGACAAGTTAAAGGGAAGAGTAAAAAAAGAAGCTGAATCCCCTACCACGGCCTCTCGTCGCATCAGTCACTGCACCAACAACGAAGCCATAACCCAGCAGTCCGGGGCAAGAATCCATCGGAAATGCCTCAGGAACAGCGGGTTAGAATGCAGCCATCGGCTCATGACTGTGAGGTGTCAGGATCTGGCGGCCCGGTCTCCGAGGCTCAGACGTACTATGACGAACCCCAGGACCGCCTGGTCAAACATGAGTCTCCCTCAAATCCGTCCCCGAAGCATGTAGCCTTTGAGCTCCTGCTGGACGAGTCCTCGAAGATGCGAGCTCGCATTCCAATGAGGGTGCAGATCTATCCGCACGACACCACAGACTCAATCGTCACCACCGTCAAAAACTTCTACGGTATCTACGAAGGGACTGCCAGCGGCGTCAGCTTTGAGGACCAGGATGGCAACACCCTCATTGCACGGTACGAGAACCTCAAGAACAGCATGACAGTCTATGTCCGTGTGATACCGAATCATCATTACCCCGAACAACACTCACCACCGTCATACTACGCTGTCTCACCCATAGATGGCTACTCCCGACCTACGCTCGGCGAGCCATTCTCGATGCCACCTCCCCAGGGCAACCAAAGCTTGGGGTATGGCCAGTCTGTGTCCCGGCCTGGCTCGCGCGCCGCTGCTGGAAAGCGAAGCGTCTCTCCTCCTGCCCGAGGTCGCCGGAGCGCCTCGAGGCAGAAGTCATCCCGCGCCGGTGTCAAGAGCCGGGGCTCAAGCACACATGGAAGCTTCCACGATGACGCACATATGCCATGCAGCGACAGCGACGGTGGCCACAGCTCGGTAAATGGTACGAGAAGGCCCAAAAGCGAGCACTTTGGCAGTGCCGATATCAGTATGGACAACATCCTGCAGGATGGCAGAAGGAAGCGCCCAAAGTTTGAGAGCTCCGTAAGTATCGCTTTCCAAAGACACAACAACGATAGCCTTATCGTGGTCGACAGTCGTGATGTTGATATATTAACGCTTTACCGTCTCTAGGAGCTTCCTTTGTTTGCTCCTCCTCAAGTGCCGCGGACGACTTCGGCATCCTCCATCTCTCCCCAGCGTCGCTCTCTTGCTCCCGACGCCTCGCCGTTCGCAAGGCCAAACCAAAACGCATTCAGCGGCTACCAAACACTTGCGTCTCCCCAGAGCCTAGGGAACCATGAGAAGCTACATTCTCTTCAGAATGGAAGTGGAAGCAATCCGTATGCGACCCCAACTGCACCACACCATGGGCACCGGCTGCGAAATCGCGCCAATTCCAACTCAGCGGTGCACTATGCCACTCCCGTGAATGGCCATGGCATCTTGCCTACCCCTGACCCAACCATTGCCAGCTGCATCTCGGATGAGGATGTTGCCATGCAGCTGATCAGACTCGGAGATACCTCCAACTTCTCGCACGGCCGGACGTCCACCTCCACGGCCGACGATGCATTCAGTGGCATTGCCGATGCTCCCTCTTCCACCGGCGCAACTACGGACATGTCTGATGTCAGCGGTGATGAAGGCGACCTCCCAACCAAAATGAGGGATCGTCGCGCATCGAGTGGCTCACTGCCCGGATTGACGAGAAAGCATAAGTCGCTGGATGAGATCCTGCCCAGCTGTGAAAGCAGCGATCCGACCAGTGACGATATCGACGGTGAATACCAAAACCTTGCCTCTCAAGATAACATCAAGAGCGAGTATGATGATGACCCCTTATACGAGGCCCAATCCTCCCGAGCCAAACGCTCAAGGAAATCGGTCAGCGCGACTGCGGCCACGGCTTCAGCCAAAGGCGCCGGAGCCAAACAGGCCTCGACGGCTAAAGGAGGTCGCAATGCAAAGAACCGCGCCGCCCCTGCATCTCGCAAGGGTAAACAGGCTCCGACGAGCGCCGCCAAACCAGCGCCCCCGCCGTTACTCCCGGCCACTGCCCAGCAGGGAGGCGTGAACTTCCACAACCAGCTGGCGGCTGACGAAGAGGACCTGTCCACCAAGCCTCGCTGCCAGAGATGCCGAAAGAGCAAGAAAGGCTGTGACCGCCAGCGCCCTTGCCAGAGATGCAAGGATGCCGGTATTGGTATCGAAGGATGCATCAGCGAGGATGAGAATAATGGTCGCAAGGGCAGATATGGGCGCCACATGGGCGTTTCCGTCAAGAAAGACCTTTCCGCCAGTGCTGCGAATACCCAGGAGCCACTGGCTGCCGTCACCGCCGTCTTGTCCACCACGTCTGCCGGCCCTGACAAGAGCAAGAAGCGGAAGCGCTGATCGCAAGATGCGAGCGTAGGATATCGACACTCTTCTCTACGCTCGCATTCAATCTATGACTGTTCCGGCTTTATACCTCTCATAGAGCAACAACTGCCAAAATAGCCAAAAAAGAATAAAAAAAATGCACAGGGGATATCGACATCTCCCTTTCGTGCAAGCACATATCCTCTGTCGCCGATGCGTCTGCCATTCGAGTTTCGGTTATACTTACGACTTGTGTTTATATCTGCAACAAACAAAAAAAAAACCGCCTTTAAACAGTTTCTAACCATCAAATTATCATCACTATTAGACTTTGATTCTCTTTTCCTGCCAACGGGTGGCTTTCTTGTATGTTCGTATCCTCTACCATCCCAAAGCCCTGTTTCGATCCATCTTAACTGTCTATCTGCCTGCTTGCTCCAAATATCATCCGGCCATCATCTTTTATGCCAATTGCGACTTTCATTAACATCAACCCGGCGCTGCGAGTTCTCTGTCTTTTTGTGCTGCATTTACATTTTCTTTTCTTCGCTCTTTTTCGAACATGTACCTATTGCGGTTTATTGTCCTGTTTAATCTCCATATTGATTCATATATCTTCTTCTCATTCTCTTCCCTTTCATTCGCTTGAGCTATTCCAGTCTGCCTGGGTTGAGATTCGACTGGTTATATCTCGTAGTTATCTGAATGGCAAAAGCTGCCCTGTAGCCTCTCTTGCTTTCAACAGCCATGCCGTGGCTCTCAACGTCTGATTGACCACCATTAACATTCTAGTTTATTCATTAGAATCAATCAGTGGGCTTCTTCTCTTCTCTTCTTCTACTTATCATCTTTATAATGTTGAATGTTGAAGCAATAACTGGTAATTTGGTGTAATGATACAAATAGAAAAGCAGTGCTAAGACATTAAATTTAGTGTGTATCGTAACGTAAATACAGGGAAAATTACACTCTCAAAACTTCATTTTTTGTCGCAAAAACATCGATTTGAATCATTGCAAAAAGAGCTTCAAGAGCTTTTGCTTGTTCTTTTCCTTTTGGTTTATTTCCAGTAAGCGATCCAATAGACACAGTCAATTACTACGAAAGCAGACGTCTACCCATTCTCCGCCTGCCTTCAATATATCCTTCAATAAATCATGCCGCCAAATCCCCCGCCAAACAGACCGCCGCCTGGACGACAGCAACCAAGCGGCTCAGAAAGGTCCTCAGCTACTCCAGGGCCGTCTGGGACTGCGGGTACGGGTCGCGGGGGCTCGGCGAGCGGCCGTGGACGACCGGTTCAGCGATTACAGTCCCTGAAGAAACGAGCTCCGGGCGGCAGTCTTGTGCCGCTGAATGCAGATGGCTCAACACCCAAACCAACGTTGAAATTCCAGCCAAAAGTGGTGGCACGGAAGAGCAAAGAAGAACGAGAAGCACTGGAGAACTTCGAGGCTCAGAGGTTACAGGAGAGAATATCTGCGGCTAATGCTACCCGGAGGTCGACCCGAGGCGGGGATAGAGGCAGAGGCAGAGGGCGTGGTAGGGGTGGAGCCAGCGGTGCATCCGGGCCTTTAGGAGGAGGAGCAGCTGGGCCTGGAAGGCATGGAGGAGGTGCATGGAAGGGTAAGGGTGGCCGTTCTGCCAAAATATCGGGCGTATATGGAGTCAAGAGTGAAGGCGGCGCTCCGGGAGAGCACGACAGCCGGGATATCTCGTCTGATGAAGGCAGTGACTATGGGCTACGGTTTAGTATCGACCATATCAACCTCGAGAGCGATTCAGAGGAGGAGGAAGTTGCTGGTGCTATGATGAAGGGCAAAGCCTCTTTGGCAAAGTCTACATCTAGGGGGGGCAATCGTGGACTTCGACCTGTGCGTGTTGAGAGACATGAACACGTTGAACGGTCGATTGGCATTGCCAGTGACGTGAGAGAGGGAACAAACAAATCTGCTGAGCTCAGGAGGCAAGCAAAGGAGAAGGCCAGAGCAGAGAATGACAGCCTATTTGTCGAGGGTGATGACTCCGATGATTCTGACGCTGATGAGGATGACGATGTGGTTATGGGGGAGATAAAGGAATCTGTTCCTACGAGTGATAGTCCTCGCATCAAAACAGAGCCTGCTGATGACAGTGTTATCATCGATGATAGCATTGTGCCTGCTGTATCGGAAGAGACTGCACCAAAACCACGAGCGAAGAGGAAGGCTAGGGATCTGAGGAAGAAGCTACAGACAGAAGAAGAACGACAGGAGTACGACCGCTATGAAGAGGATATTGACTACTTGAAATCTACTCTCGGAAGCCTGGCACCAGCAGGCAAGGCCCCTGATAGTTCAGCTACCGTAGTTGAGAAAAAGGACGAGGATGACGCTGACAACGCCTTGAAGCCGGCAGATGAACGCCAGGGCCAGCTATTTTTGCTCCAGTTTCCGCCAATGACTCCTAATCTTGTGCCGCCAAAACTTGAAAAAAGCAGTGCAGCAGAGCAAGGTGAAGCTGTTGTCGAAGTTGCAGCTCCTCTTCCCGCAGACCATCCTTCACAATCTCAGGGGTCAGTGACAATAAAACAGGAAGAGGGCGCCGCAAATCCGGAATCTACCGCCAGCACATCGACTCCTCTGGTCACGGCTACAAACAGCGCCTTGCCACGAGGGCGTGTAGGGAAACTGAACATACATCAATCCGGCAGGGCAACCATTGACTGGGGCGGAGTCAGCTTCGAGCTCACCAAGGGCAGCACCGTCGGTTTCATACAGGATGCTGTGATACTGTCGGACAACATGGCTGGCAGTGCTGACAGCAGCTCCACCACCTGCAACAAGAAGCTATGGGCCATGTCCCAGGTCACTGGCAAGTTCGTGGTAACTCCAGACTGGGATAAGATCCTTGATGAATGATCAAAATGTTCTGCGTTGCCATTCATACCAGCCACTTTGATTACATCTCGCATCAGCTATCCTCGCAACTGCGCACCATCATGACCTCTGTTATAGCCTACAGCGACTGACTATGCATGAGTTTCTTCCGTCTTTCAGTATTTCTATCATCTTTTCCTCTTGTTTCTTCGTTTTTTTGTGCTGAAACAGCTATGACCACGTGACCATATTACGTGTCGCCAAAAACAGCAAAGGAAAAAAAGCACCAAAACTTCGACTTTCAACCAAAAAGACGACGAACTACTTGAACCAAATCGCCCATTGGGGTAGCCAGTTATCCATCCATATTCCCGACAGCTGTTTATTGCTTCTGTGTCCTTCTTCCGACCTCATCCGACAGCAGCTGGCGGGGCGCCTTCGACTATCGCCACTTTGACAGCCATCGATTTAATTTACTGGGAGCCATTCCCCTGTCCGACTCGCACTGCTCTTACGGGGGAAGATCGAACACTCTGACCAAGATGCGGTTCACAAAGAGCCCCATTTATCTGCTTGCCGCGTCTTCACTTCTCTTCACCAGCGCATTTGCGGCCGACAGCGCAGCAATGACCTTGCCAGGGCCCTTACCCACACCGGATGCAGCGAAGCAATCTAGCGATATAAACGATGAATCGCCCTTAAACCCAGAACCTGAGCTTAAAAAACGTGCCATTGTCGACGCGCCGCCTGATTCAGTGCCAAAAGTACCTACGCAGGTCTCTCCGGTTATGACGGTTTGGGTCCAAGGAGTTCAAGTGCTATACACGCAGACATTCCCACCTACGCCTGACCCATGGCCGGCTCCCAAGAGTGGAGAAATCGGCCTGGGTACTTTGAAGGGGGAGATCGGGAAGACGACCACGATCAAGGCCCGCAGCCTTCCCACAGACGGTCCAGAGGCGATGTTTGCGCGCCAGTGTCGAACGCTTGAGTGCCGCAAGAACGTAGAAAATCTGGATAAACGCGATGAAGAGAGTGATGCCTGAGGTATCTTATGTTATTGCGCGGAGTTACGTGGCCTTGACCGGTGCTCAGATGTGGTTGTTTTTAATGATTGGAATTTATGCCATGTTGGCAAGCATATATACGGAGTTTTGGGGCAGCTATCTGCCATAGACATGTACACTATTTCTTCACTTTGCTTCAGTTCTTTTTTCTCCTGCTTCTTCATACTCTCTTCAACCTCTTTTCAGTTTCTTCTCTTCAGCCTCTTCTCTTCAACCTCTTTCAGCTTCTTCTTTCCTGGTCCTCCTGGTTAGAACTTGCACTCTCAAATGAAACTGTCAGCATCCACCACCTCCGCAGGCTGCATCCTGGCTATTAAAGCACCTCTTTAAGCCCTCGACGTAATATATAAATAATATCTTCACTAGTCAACATGATAATATCTCCGAGTCCAACGCTATCCGCAACCTTGGCAGGTGACCCAAAGATCATCAACCAAACCAACGAAGAAAAAAAAAAAAAGATACATCATGCAAACTTCTGTTGATATCGAACTGCTCCTTTTTTATATATATATAAATAAACAATAACTTCACCCTTCGTATGGAACAAGCGGACGGCCTGCAAATATCCAGAATATATTGCGCATCCTTGCCGCTTTTCCCTGTTTATTGAGCCTCGAAAGGCAGATCTGACTTGAACTAGCGGCGGACCCAAAAGTCGCCCTCACGGCGCGGAAGAGAGCTGCCCTTTTTCTCTCTCCTTCTGCTGTTCTCTTCTTCTTTCACCTTGCTGGACTACGCTGAGCATGAGCATATCGAGCCTGCTGATAGAGAGGTATTTGGTCTCTGGTGCTCGCTGGGGTAGCTCGATGCCATGTAGCGTCGCCCTTCCTGCCGCATGGATTGACCAATGTTTCGAGCCCTGGGACCTCTGCCATTTGGCATGGCCATTTTGAGCCCAACGACAGTATTTGTCGCCCTGGTCCTCGTCTACATCTCCTCCTTCGTCCTCTTTGCTATCATCCGCATCGCCACCGGGATCTCCATACAGCGGATCGGCTATTTTTCACTACGACATATCGCATATTCGCCGCGGGAGGGGGTTCACATCAAGTTCGGAGGGATTGGGATTTCGATACACAGGCCCTCGCTCGTTCAGCCTACGTACGTTAGCCTACGTATCAGACGGGCTACCGTCTCCCTTGACTTGAAGGTTCTTGCTAGCTCTCGTCGTCGAGCTGCTGCCGGGCAAACAACGGAGGACCTGAGCAAGGATGGAGTTGCGCCGGAGAATAAGTCTGTGGGAGACGGCGACGGCACAGCTAAGAAGGAATCAGCGTCATGGGATAAGACGTGGAAGATGCTGAAGGGAGTGAAGGAGAAGCTCAAGCAGTTGCTCAGACAGATAAAATGGCTGGCGCTGATCGATATCTCCGCCACGGAAACTACTCTCCGCATTAGAGATGCTGGGGAACTTCATGTCGGTGCCCTGACAATGTCTCTAGATGCGCGGCGCAAGGCTATGCAGAGCGGGAAGCAGTTTCGACAGAATGAGGACGCTTCAGGCGAAAGGCGGTCTCCAGAGTGGATTTTCAATGCGCGCAATATTCTACTGGCTTTGGATGGCTGCGAACACAAGGAAATATTTGATAATATTGGAATAAACGTCCATGGCCTTCTTCAAAATGGCGTGGAAGGATTACGGGAGGTCTCGATCTCGGTCAAAGTCGGGAGGCTTCACATTCCATATGACGATGTTCGCTCGATACTACTCCGGATAAAGGGGCTCTCGTTACCGGATAATATGGTCACAGATGCAGCAACCTCTTGCGAAGACACTGATGACGAAACGGCGCTGGGAAATATCATGGAAGAATCGGATTCTGAATTGCAGGATACCCATAACGAGGTGGTGGCCCATCACCTTACCGAATCCAAAGCTTTTGTTGCCTCCTTGCTTCGTGGAATTCAGGACTTCCAGCTCGCCTTGAGCTTTTTCCGTATTTCTAGCACCGTGAAGAAACCTGAGCCCATGCAGAAGCCTTTATATTTAAATTTTTATACGCACGAAGTGGGTATTGACTTCCACAGAATGGACCCAGCCCATCCATCTCACAGGATGTACTTTCAGCGTGACGATGTTGCCCACCAAGCCTTAATAGCTGCCATATCTTCGTCTATTTCTCTAGGTGAGAATATAGACGAGCACGACAAGCTAATATACATTCCAATGGCCACGACAACTATCAAAACGACACTTCCTTCTAAAACGATGACATTGGCAGGCGGCCATCGGGATGCCGCGGAGCGGAATTCAAATGTCATTTTTGCAAATTTCGTCATTACATCTCCCTCCATGGATTTGGAGCCTAGACATCTATCAAATGTCCTGGCCCTATTGCAAGCAAGAGGGTCTTCCTCCAGCGCCAGCTCTCAAAACAAACACTTTCTTATGTCTCGTCTTTTACCAAAAGCAGTAATTAAACTCTCTGTTCACGAACCTGTCCTTAGATTTGCACTCCCGACTTCAGACCCACCAGGCTTACCAGACTATAACCTGCTTGTTTCTTCTATATCCTCTATTTCCCTGGATATCGAGTCATCCCATTCCGTTGGAGAGGGTGCCCAATACTCGTTGGTTGCCACGTACCGCATTTCTTCTCATTTGATATACTACCAAACTGCCTCAGGGGTTAGGCATCGTCTCCTGGCGACGGACACTATGGACCTCAAGTGCTATATAAACGCAACAACAGAGATAGCTGTTGCTATTTCGGGCTCCATGAACTCGTTTTCCATCCATATTCTTAGCGGGGAGGTTACTCGGGGGCTTCATGAAGCTGTTAAGCAGCTGAAGAGACTTATGCCTTCAAAGCAAAATTCTTCTCGCGATACACCGTCACCTAGCCTGTTAAGGCACCTACCGCCTTGGTTAATCCGCTTCCAGTTCGAATCTTCCGCTTTTAGCATTGAAATTGCCGGCTCGGATCCCACTGTTGGCCCTGCTACTAGAGGAATCGTCCTTCACCTGGGCGGATGGTCGGTAGAATATCAGCTACAGAAACCAAAGCCGAACCCACGATCTATGCGGCGCAGAACTCCTAGCCACTCGGCTATTTCGGACGACCCATTCAGGTTCACTCCCACGTCACCCTCTGGGAAGTCGTATGCTCGTCCCTCGGATGGTAGAAGGCTAGCATTTCACGTCCGGCAACTGGAGAGTTTTATTATGGAGTCTGTAGACTATATGGAACCAGACGCATTTCTCTCCGTGCCTCAGTTTGAAGTCGCCCTTACTACTTCGAGTGATCTTCAAGGACCAATTTTCCACATCAACTCCACCGTTAACGAGATCATTGTAAAACACTCACTTTATCGATGCTATGCCATTGGGATAGCGGCTACCGCCATCAATGATGCGTTTTTCAAATCTACCACTGAAATGTACACTCATGGCCCTAAACGCAGATCCTCTTCGCTGAGAGCTCCCGGAAAAGCTTCCTCCAAGGTCGAACTCACCACTTTTGATATCAAAGTTCCTTCAATACAAGTTCAAGGTGTAATGCCGTCAGATCCAAGGATGCTACTGCAAGTATATGGATTGGTTGCAGGTCGACATCGCTGGTCGCCACCTTTTATTCGATCGCATCTGATTCGACTTCATGTGGAACCTCCTAAAGTAAAGGGTACTTGGACAAGAATTATTAGTGTTGGAGGCGTCCGTGTTGGGCTTCGAGAGAGCAGGACCAAGCAAGCAGAGACCCTGGGCACAACGAAATCATACGATATCTCCTCAGATTTCATTCGTGTGGCCGTTCCTCCACATATGATCATGTACCGTGTATTTGATAACTTTGTCAATACAGTCAAAGCGTTGGAGCTACTCAGTCATCGTATGCAGACGAAATCTAGCTCCCACAGCACGGAGAAGCCACCGAGTGGACCAAAACGTGTACCGAAAATATCCTTACGAAGCAAATCAATGGTATTTGAGATAGAGGATGACCCATTTGAGTGGAAACTAGGATGTATTTACCGTCTGGGGCTTCAGGAGCAGAAACAACGTCTTGCCCGCGAGGAAGCGTATCATATGAAGCTAAAGAAAGTGAGAGAAAGCCATGATGATCGCTATACTACAATCCGCCTCAGGAGCCTAAATGCTCGATCCCTAACAGATAGACCTTATACGAGCTCTCGCAGAAGTGGTGAATATCAAAGAAGTACCAGTGCAGATAGCCGACCTAGGAAACGGTCCAGGTCTAGAGGAAGGAGTGCCTACTCAAAAGGTCGATACGATACGGGACAGGTGCCAAATTTCTCTGATTGTAGCATCCTATCGGCTGATGAGGCATGGAATCAACTTCAGGCTCACAATGCGCGCTCTTGGAAGAAAAAGATTGACCATTCAATCAGATTTCAGAATGCGGCTGTCAGGGAGCTCCGGGCTCTTTTTGTTGGGGCCGACAAGACCCCCGATGGTATCCAGGAGCTTCCTGGGGTGGCTCCGATTCCAAGTCGACCAGGTCTACTTGCTATTAGGATATCTGATTTTGCCTTCTCTCTAGATGCGCCGTCGTTCCCCCTTCATGAATACCCTCAGTATCTCCATAGGATTGGGAAAGGGATGCCTTTGGATATGAAATATGCGTTATTGATTCCAATGAGCATCCGACTGGATATGGGAGAAGCCAGGTTCAATTTAAGAGATTATCCGCTCGATTTAATCCATATTCCTCCGCTAGGCCCAGGGCAATCTGCCCGTGTCCCAGCTTGGTCTCTCAAGACGGATTTTGTTATAGCTGAAGAATTCCGCGGACCTGAGTCTTCTCGTCAGGTCATAGTCAATATTGTTCCTCCCTCGCTTGCTTCTGATGGCACGATGCAGGATGGCTTTTCACTCGATGTTCGCCGAACGGTTGCTCCCGTGAAGACCTATTCCAACCCAACCATTGAGATCAACACTAACCAACCCACCACGATCTCTTGGGGAATGTCATACCAACCAGCCATCCAAGATGTGATGAAGATTATTGAGAATTTTACCAAGCCTGAAATAGATCCCTCCGAGCGTGTCGGATTCTGGGACAAGATTAGACTTAGCTTCCATTCAAGGCTGCTCTGGGTTTGGAAAGGGGATGGTGATGTCCATTTCCGATTAAAAGGTAAGTCGTGCTACAATTGCCTCATAGACATATCCACTGGGCCAACAATGTTTTAATTATAGGCTCTCGTGATCCCTACATCGTTACTGGCTTTGGCGCGGGTTTCGTTATGTGTTGGCGTAAGGATGTTCAATGGGGAATACATACAAATGACGACCCACAGGAATTTTTCGCAGTTACCAGTGGTGAATATGTTCTTGCCATTCCTGACTATAATCGTCAAGCGCGATATTCATACGAATGCCCGTCGTTCAGCAGTGGCTCCTCTAGGGTATTCGCAAAGAATGATGCATTATTCAAGAAGGTGATAATGAAGCTATCAGGAAATGTCCGTTGGCTTGCAGGCTTGGTTTTTGAACGGAACACGAATGGTGCGGACCGATGCTTCGACTTTAAACCTCATTATGAGGTTGTACTACGCAATCCCACATATCTAAATCCAGAAACATTAAAGGTACTGCTCTACTCTATTATCTTACGGAAAACCATTTTGATAATACTAACATTGAGGCCAGGACTATGATGCGTTTCGTGGATTCCGAAGCAACCACATCCATCTTTCTTTGGCCGTTGTTGCACCCGTTTCCCGAGTATGGACCTTAACCAACCGCGAGCCATCAGCTTCCTACAATACAGTTCATCTTACTCCCAAATTCTTTACTCACTTTTTTAGTTGGTGGTCTCTATTTTCCGGGGTCATGTCACTTCCAGTTCGCCAAGGCCCTCTTTTCCCTGGACTGACAAAGACGAGCAAGAAGTTTAGTCGTCATCTCGGTACCATAAAGTACAAACTCTTTCTTTCCCCATTGTTTGTCTCCCATATTTACAAGCATAAGGACCCGGAAGACTATAAGGAGGATGTTGTGTTTGCAACTGGGTTGAAAGTCCGGTTGGATAGCTTCATGCTTGATCTTCATCAACGACGAGAGTATACAACCGTTGTCAAGGGACGGCTTGAACCAACGAAGGCAAGTTCTATGAAGATCAATAGGGCGCAATTGGACTTTATATCCGCTGATTGTCGTGCCGTATCGTCAATTGGTAGCTCCCTCCAGGGTGGTGGAAACGAGAAAGATGGTATCAGTCCGACGTACCCAGATATGTCTCAGCCTGCCGAGGTGTCTAATTTTACCATTCCCGATGATGATCTCAACTGGATTGACATGGATGACTTTGTTGAACTGGACTGGGTCCTACCCTCGGAATTGAACCCCAAGACGCAAATTCTTCCCTTGGCATATTCTCCTCGATTTTCATTTTTCCGTCAAACGGATCATATAAAAGTTGGGCCAGATGAACCAGGCTATAGCCCTTTTGGAGACGAGCCCACCCATGTCTGTGTCATGTCACAGGATCACGATCCCCGACGGGTACAAATTGAGTTACTTAAAGAGCGCCTTAGTGTCCTAGAAGCTCAATCTTCCTCTCATCAGCGAGTTGTTGGTGAATTCGAATTACGTTCTATACGCGATGGCATCACAGATGAAGAAACGCGAAGACAATACGAGACGCTTGTTAGGCATGGCATCTCTCTTGCACAACGACAAAGGTTCCTTCAAGATGAGCTTCAAAGGCTTGAAAAACATCTTATTCAAAACAACTACACCAATGGAGCTGCTATCCCCGGTAGTAGTGAGGATGGGGACCTTTTATTATCTTCCGCTGAGGATGAGTTTGGCAGTGATTTTGACAATCGTTTCGTCATTCATAACATCCAACTGAAATGGAACAATTCCCTACGAAACATAATTTTGCGATATATACACCAAGTCAACCAGAGGCGTGGGTTTGTGTACTACATGTCACGGCGTGCAGTGAAGTTCATTTTGGATATCGTTGACGAGCAAGCCAAGACAAAACGCCGACATATGGGCAAAAAGCAACAAACATCGTGGACTGCTGAACCCCGGTCTCCTATTGATATTGAAAGAGGAAACGATATGACCACCGAAGAGCGTATTGAGCAACTCCTAAATGACGCAAGCCGGTTTGTGAATGCAGAACCGCCAACGCCCGGAGAGAGCAAACACCCTCTGCTACCCTCAAACTCGAGTGGCGATATAGCCTCCGAATTCACACCGCAGAACAGCTATCATCTGAGACTCATTGCCCCTCAAATTCAGTTGCAGAGTGAGAAGAACAAGAAATCTGTGGCCGTTGTCACTGCTAAAGGGATGCAATTGAAGGTTGTATCCATTATGGACAAGCACCGAGTATCCGATGACATTAGTGGGCTGGTACAACGCCAGTTTACGCTTAGCATGGACAGCGCCCAGTTCTTCGTTGCGGACCAAAAAAGTTTTACTAGTCATATACATATTTACTGTGGGAATGGATACGGCAATGCTCCTGGCACTTCCTGGCCGCCTTGGGTTTCGGTGGAAGCCATGTTCGATTTTGATATCGATCTTTCTGGATTCTCAAGAATCATACAAAAAACTTCTGCAAGTTTACGGTATGATAAGTTTAACACTTTGCGGCTGAAATTTAACGAAAGGGTCGCTGGGGAGATGGAAGAAGATGATAGGCATGACAACGATACCACTGAGCATAGAATGGATCAGATAACTGTTGACTTCCCCCAAGTGCGGGCGATCTGCGATTCATCTCAGTACTACTCCCTATACATCATCGCCCTTGACCTCCTCATGTATAGCGAGCCTCGAGAACAAGTCAGGGCCGAGAAATTGGAAAAGATCATGCTAGCATCAGATTTTAGTGATCTTCGAGGCGCACCAGAGATTGTCAATCGTCTTCAGCAGCGAATTCGCTATCTTGAAGAAATTAAAAGCCTTTTCCAAATTCGGGCTAAATATCTTGACAAACAGGGACTAGCGGACCGAAGCACACTTGAGAAAGACCTGATAACATGTGAGGATGAGTTATTCTTTATGATGAAAGCTATTACAACATCTCAAAGGAAGGGCGATGACCGCGCGAAGTCCTCCTCTAGTGGGCTTCTACATTGGACGCTGGCAGCGTCTGAAATTGTATGGCATCTCATGACTGACAACAAAGAGCCAATTGCCGAGTTCCAACTGAGAGATGCAGCATATGGCAGAACCGATAACATTGATGGTTCAAATCACAATACAATAGAAGTTGGGAATATATATGGGCTCAACTTGCTACCAGATGCACTTTACCCTCAAGTTATACTTCCATATAAAGATGACCATCGAGGCACTCATCCGAAAGACAATGGTAAAATGCTTCAAGTCAAGTGGTACATGCTAGAGGCTATTGCAGGAATCCCAGTTCTTAATGACTTTGAGGTGACGCTATTCCCTCTCAAAATACAATTGGAGAGAGAACTAGGCCAGAAACTCTTTGAATATGCCTTTCCGGCTGCTGCGCCGAATGCCTTTGAGAACGGAGGCTTTTCACCATTCATGATAAAGCAAATAGATCCACCTGACGATGAGTCAGATATTGACGGAACCAGCGGCGTTAATACACCAGCATTGAGTACCACCAGCACATCAACCGACGAACGGCCAACTTCTCGTCTTGGCACGGTTGAGCAACGGTTGACGCCTACCCTGGCTTTGCCCGATAAACGCCGCTCGTACTCTCCAGGAAGAATTAAGAAATCAATGTTAATGACACCAATAATCAAAGATCCAGCCTCCCAGAAGCATGATGCTGAAGATTGCAGGAGTGGTTCGGCGTCCCAGGTACCTACACGGCGTACCTTGGCGAAGAAAGCTTCTGCGGATAGTCTTACCCTACTTAAACGACAAGCTTCGGATTGGTCTCTAGCAAGTCAGGCTGGGAATAAAACTGAAGAGAAGCTAAAGAGACCCACCCTTAAACGACAACCAACGAAAGTGCATCTAGAAAAGACTAATGGGTCGGACGACCTTTCTCGAATGATATCCCGCGCATCCAATTTCATGATTCTTACTCATGTGAAAATAAACGATGTTGTGCTTTGCTTAAGTTATAAGGGAAAAGGGGAGCGGAATATTGAAGACATACATGACTTCGTTTTCAGGTTGCCCGTTCTTGAGTATCGCAATAAGTCATGGTCGAATTTAGACCTTGCTCTGAGACTGAAGAAAGATGCGATCAAGGCCTTGATTTCTCATGCGCCTGCAATACTGGGCAACAAGTTCTCCCATCATCGACCGACAAAGCAGCAACAGAAACGCCTCCGGGAATTAGCTAGCTCTTCTCAGTTATTAGATGGCCAGTCCATCCTCAGCACACCTCACTCTGATGGCTCAAACAGCATCGTCAGTCGCACTTCTACTGAACGTTCTGTGTCTCCTGCTCTCTCTTTAAATTCACGCGCTTTTCAGGCGAGTGGTGCGTCGTCCACCGACTCCATGGGCATTCCCGCGAGAACCAAAACAGCCCATTCTGATCTTGGGCCTATGGGTTCCGCTTCAATGGAAGAACAAGAAGAAGTTAGCTGGCCTTACCGGGAAATTCTATCACCCTATATAGTACTGACTAGCTAGCAGGAACAAAGCAACAAATTAGGCCCTCCCCGACGCCGATTTACAACTAGCCGTGGGTCAGCGAGCAGTGAAAATGGAGATGATGTATCTGAAAGGTAAGCACGAATAGTATGCGTTTCGGCTTCCTTGCTGTCTAACTGAATATATGTAGGCAACGGCGAAATCCTTTGTCTCTCTTTGGGCGCAAAATTCTTGGTTCGCTGGACTGAACCCAATATGCCTCTCAACTGTTCAATTCTTCCCTTTGTATTATATGCCTTGGTATATAATCCACGGGGCACCAAAAAGCCGCTAATAGGCGGTAACACCACCTTACTGAGTCCTTATTTCCTACAACATTCAACAATCAATTCTACTCTCCGCTCGCTTTAGCTTCCCTTAAACCTGTATACTCTTCTCTTTATCCCCCTTTTGAGTATAAATTATAGCCTTAAGAGCGTTTCCTTGCAGATTTTTATTTTGCTTTGTTTTATATTCGACTGCATTTCATACACCGTCAACTCAACGGTGGAAGCTGATACATCTTTACTTTTTCTTGTTTTTCATCTCGAGGCCATGGTATACCCTGCAACCTGGGGTTGGCGCCGGAGTTTCCCTTCGTGTTCAAATAGTTCTTTCGTTTAGATATCGTTTCTCCTTATCGTTTAGCACTGTTCTTTTGTATGGGTGGCTATCTGGCATGTGAAAGGTTGTCTTTCATTTGGGGAATGGAAGATAGACGGATGGACATTTGGATACTCAAATTAGCATTTGATTTCATGGTTAGAGTACTACTAGGTCGCTTATTTCATTATCATCTGCATTGTTATATCTATAGTGATACCGCCGCCTATGACGGAAGCTATATTTGTCTAAAAAGCCCAAAAATTTTTGGTTATTCATCACAAAATAATATATTACATGATTTGAAGGTGCAGGGTATATATATATATATATATATATGAAAGTTAGAGGAAAGACGTTAAAAAGAAATATATAGGTGAGATCGAATAGATCCGAAGCGATGTATCCAATATGAAAACCCATAGCATACCTGTACCTTAACGCCTAGATAGATGCTCGCCATAAAGCATTTGTATATTATACAATCTCAGAATTGTATCCAGATTGGGTGTTATCAACTTCGGCTCTCGCTGGCTTTCCTGGCCGCTGGAATGGTAACGAGGATATTAGTCGGCCAGAAACTGATAAAAATCGAGTCTGGGGCGTGGAGCATGTGATGTCATCGGTGTAGGGTTCTCCGTGAAGGGAATATTTCCCCCAAGCAGCCTTCTCCTTGCGAAGATCAGCTTGGACCCATGGAACAGTGATAATGGCCCAAGTGCCTGCCCATACGAAAGGAAGAGACCATCCGAGCTAATGAATTGATTAGCACAGAAAAATATCGCCATCAATAATGGATTCAAACGTACGGTATATGCCACATCCCTAGGGGTAGTAAAAACCAGCGCAGTTATTACGGCCGCAAAAATGACTGAACCACCGCCCCAGAAACAGTTCATTTCAAAAAGCATTTGTCTGAAGTATGGGCTGGAGAGGTATCTGTCACGAAGGGCCCTTCGGTATACCTGCCCACCCCCACCGTCCACAGCAACGACGTCTTCTATCAATACGTATAGGGCTGTGGGCATAACATAACCCTTCGGTGTGGAGGATATGCGAAAAGGAGCCTGATAACCTCGGGCACGAAGAAAGTCTAGCGTTAAATGGACAAATCCGAAGTAGAACATCACTGTTGGTAGTGGCATCGCAAGAAGACGGACTAGTACAAAATGGTCAGAATAGATGAAATAGGAACTACCTGTAGTAGTACTTACTGTATGGCTCTTCTTGGACGGTTCCTCTGTTAAAATAAAAATCATATCAACAATTATTCGCAGCGGTTCTGGAGGACATCCTTACATGATTAACTCCACAGCCAGGATGAGCCATACTATTGTAAAATTTACCTGAAAGAAGTCAAGCTTCCCTATCAATCAGCTAATGGCCATCAAGATATTGTGAAGTGGCTGGGCATACCCATGATCTCCTTGCATTCAACGGTCTTACTTTCGAGTTCTTTCTGAATAGGTTATAGAATCGATAAAAATATTCAACGACCGCGACCCCTCCTAGCGCGGCGGTACTTATGGTAAACACTAGTGGTAGCAATACCAGTTAATATTCGACTTTTCCGTTATCTTATAATTTGGTGAAGAGACGAACCCAAGTTATGTGACAAGCTAGTGCAATACCACAAGGTAAAGTAAAGGACCAACGGCTGGACCAGAGTATCGATGACAAAAAGTGTCCAGAATATAGCAATGGAGCGTTTCCTGGATCTGAGCGAGTAGGGCAGCTCTGGTGGCCCAGGAACAGCCGGAGCCTCTGGAACCACGGGTTTATCCATCATCCGGAGAGGCTATAAACCTGTTCTGTTGATTAACGAGGGACGAGGAACTAGCCGCGAGAATATCAGCGGATAAGTTTGGAAATAGAAACCAGTAAATTTCGTAGGTGATTTTGGGCCTTATCGACGAAAGATAAAGAGCGTCCATGTTTCTGTCGGAGAGGAACGAGTGTGTGGCGAATATCTTATAAAAACCAACGCGAGAAATCTTCGGCAAAGACGGTTGGTTTTGTGACGTTAAAACATCGAAAACTTCAAATGACGTCATAAGGCTGACAAACGCCGTTGAGGCTCAGCTTAGTCAACTAAATGAGTAAGCATATCATGTGACTAGTGGCCGAAGTTCGAAACTCGCGCTTGCCACGAAAAAGTTGGACAAATTATTTTTATTTTCTCGATCTACACGAAACACGCAGTCATGCGAAGGAGTAAAAAAAGGGTTATGGCGGTGAGTTTAAAGGATCTGATCGAATATCTGCTGGAGGAGATATCCTTACGCGGTGACCAAGGTGAGACGCGGCATTTGGAGATGTTATTCAATTATATGTCTTTCCTGGCTACCAAGTGGGAAAGAGAGCTAACAAAGTTGATAGGGGCACCCCCAGTAGAAGTACTTGGGTTTATTGATAAATTTTACTCTCTATGGTATCGGAAATGTGATGGCGCTCCAAGTGCAGCACGCCGTATACCCAAACTTGACCGGCGGTTCAAAGCCAGGGTCTGGAAATGGCTAACCGATCACCCTGAAGTATCAGTTGGAAGGGATAGGGAGGGCAACTCCCTTGCCTTGGATGATGTTGTACCTCCTCAGCTGAGTGGGCTTTCCTCACAGCCAGCCATTGACCCAGCATTAAGTCCAGCATCGACCCCTCCGCATGGCCTGTCTGTGTTTGTGTCACTCGAACGTACCTGGCTCTCAATTACTGGCCATGAGCCAGACTTCACCAGAGTTTTGCCGTTGGAATTTGCCCTTTTATCTATCATCGCATCCCGAAAAGAAAAAGGGATTGTACAGTCAGACCTTGTACGACTAAGTGGACAGGACAAGCGATCAGTCCCCAAAAGGACCGATTTACTACAAGAGAAAGGATATATCGAAAAACGAGCCATACAGTACCAAGCCTCAAGGACTAGTTTGTGTACCTTGAATAAATTTGCCGGATTAGGGCCAGGGGAACTGTCTTATGACCCTTCTTCAACAGGAGAAACGGGCCCCAAATCAACCACGAATAAGATAATAGACTTCAAGATTCTGCGGGAGAAACTTTTTGAGCTGCTGAAAGAGTATAATATCATCACCAGGAATGACCTTAAAGAAAAAATGGGAATGCAAGACCGCTGGCATGGAAAGGTATTAAGAAGAGCAATTCGGAAGTTTGAGGCTATTGGTTGCGTCAGGCGAGTCCGTGCTGTATCCCAGTATTCCAATGCAATGAAGTCGCTGCATCCTTCGGTAATGCTGATTCGTGAACCCACGGAGAAAGACATCAAACTGTTTCATGAAGACAGTAAAGGATTGATGTCATCCTTGGAGCAGCTGGATGCGGACATGGGAATCGACGAGGACCAGGGTCGAGAACTTATAGTAGGCCCTAATTTAGAAGCCAATTCGACTAAATATGTCGTCGACGTTGGCCGGGTTGTTCCCCAATGGGTACCGGACAGAACAATATCTAATTTGGTTTTTGACACCATCAACCAGGCTGGGACTCGGGGAGTCTCTAATAATGTCAGTTTATCTCCTTGATATAATGATGTTTATAACCCGGGAACTAATACGCCTGATGATTAGGATATAAATCAAGCAACTATGGGGGCGTTTTTTCGAAAACCATTGGAAACTGTTCTTTCCCGCCTGACTGGCTCATGGCAGTGCTCACAACCACTTCATCTTCGACATTTGGCCCTCGTTCGTGATACCGCGCTACAGAAGACAGTGTACTACTACATACATTATTCGTTCAATAACTTCTCTTCTCTTGTGAATAGTGGTCATGCCTCCTGGGATGCTGTTACTGGAGGCCCTAGGTCTGGGAAACAGACGACAAAGGCACCAGCGATCGACGCAAAGGCTAACCAAGACCAGTACGGATTTCCAGTTGATGCTCCGCAAAACCTTTTGAGAAAGGGTAATGCAACCCTCCGTGAGTGCTTAGAGGCCTCTAAACCATCGAAGTGGAACTTGACGTTCAATGACCCTGTTGCGGTTGCCCTCCCGGATGGGTCATACAGTAAGTTTTAATTAGTTCTAATTGATTCACTAATATACTAACAAGACTTGGTAGCTGTCGACTTCTTCAGAAAAAGCCATTCAAGGACTTCTCTCGAACGTGTTCGAGATTCTGGACTAATCGAGCCGGATGACAACATACTATTCGACTCTAGTTTTTCTAATGGCACACAATTCGATTCTACTGTTCATTTACTGACTCCTGGTACTCAGGGCAGTATGGAAGACATAGCCTCGCGGCCCACTAAGAGGCGAAAAGTTGTGTCAGATCCGTATGAAGGTTTGACGGGAAAGGAACTTTTAGAAGCACAAGGGTTGGATGAAGGCTGGACAGAATACAGCCTTCTACTTATGGACCGCCCTACAACTGGGGTATACATAACCCCATTCGGCAAGCGTCGACCTGTGGGTAAAAAGCGAGGGCGTCCAGGTAAAAGCCGCATTGCCGTATTCAAATCTCCAAGCCTACGGCAATTCGATTGGTTTGTACCACAAGTAACTCCTGAACCCTCAGAGAAGGAAACCACCCCGACAGTTGAAACAAACATACAGGCAGGGTCAGGGAATCTGTCCATGGAAAAGAATTCTTGCCGTCCAGTTAGAGTTGCTGCTCAACGGCCTGTGTATTCCGAGCTTGAAAATGAGCTAGGGGATACTACGCAATTGAATGCCGGTGCTGATGAACTAGATGCTGAGTGGGGAGTGGAAGCCCACCGGCCAACACGGAAAAGGAGACCATCTGACAGTAGTGTAACAATGCTTACGGCCTCAGGGGGAGCCATTGGTCGACGGAAAGGCAGGCCTCCAAAAAAAAGGAAACTCGTCAGCCAAGAGGCATCAGAAACACCCGTTCTGAAACCAAATATGCCATCTGATAATACAATTTCCACGAATTTAGATGAGGCGGGAACAGAAAATTCAACTCAACAAACCGAACCAGAGGTTGCCGAAATTGCCAGAACCGAGTTATCAGCACAGGAAATGAGCGTTATCCCACTCAGTGATGCTCCTTCCAGGGATATACAGGGTACGGCTGCTCTCTCCGTAACAACTGTAGCTCCCGCGGAGTCTTTACCCAACGAGGCCTTCAGCGGAGTTGAAATGAAGAGGGAGCCTATTTTTGATCTATTTGGGAACGTTGTTGCCGAAGATTCACAGCCTGTGGATGGGGCTGGAAGAAATTCATATGAAGATACTGAAATAATCGTTCCTGGTGGCCAAAGTACACAAGTTACCCCCGGTGCCAATGTTGTTGGTGATATTAACGGGGTGCCTAAGAGAGACATCAGATCTGGTTCTATAGGTGTTCTCAGAAGGAAGATACTTCTGGATATTCTAGAGAAGGGTGGTGGTCTATATCCCATGGGGAGTGAAATGTGGTATCCATTTACAACTCTGTGGTTGAAAACGAACCAAACTACAAAACCCGATGCTCGGACTGTGAAAAATGCGATGAGGTCACTCATAGAAACCGGAAAGGCTAGAAAACATACATTTACTGGGAGGAATGCCAAAGGACTTATGGTAACAAAGAGTATTTTGTCACTTCCAGAAATTACAGCGACTCATCCGAAATTAAGAGCCATGCAAAAGGAAATGCTCGATGCAGATCCGCAGCTATATCTACCACTAGAAGTAGACATTGATCCAGACCTGAGAAAATCGAACCGCGGATTCATGGGATATGATATAAAACTTCCTGATATTGACGGAGAAGTCAATGTGACACTTCATCGGCCCCCAGCCAGAACCATCAGGCAACCGACTAAGGCGCAGCGACGATGGAACATGCAACACTTTGAAGGCGAAATTTTTGAGTTTGATATAAGTGAATTATCTTTCCCTTTTGATTCTCCTCCAGTCCAACGCCTTGAAAGTCTAAGACGCTTGACACAAGGGCGTTCATATCTCGACTCTTTCAATAATACATTTTCCGACAGTTTCTCACCACAGACTAGGTATCCTGTACCTGCATTACCAGTGTCATCTAAGACTAGGTACATGATAACCCCAGAGTCAATGCTCATGTGCCCACTACAGGTATTCCATTCGTCTACTGGGACCTTCGGAACAGGTGCCTATATACCTGGTAGGTATAGAATTTACCCTAAGAATCACCGACAAGCTATAGTCCGGCCGGATAACCTGGCAAGTATCTTGTCACAAAGAGGGAACCGGAGGTTTGATCCCTCGAAGGTTTCTGACCCAGTATCACACCAGTTCTTTTACGACGTTGATAGGGTCAGATATTGGGAACACAGATACCCCGAAATATTCGAGGCGCCGAATGATGATTTTGTTTACATAAACCACACTATCGAAAAACTCCCAGAGTGCCCCCCTCTCGAAGGTGTGATTCAATTTGAATGCGATGCTTCAGCTACTGCCGATAGAGAGCCCGCACGGAGATTAACAAGACAGCTAGCGAAAAGAAACAAACCTCCACAAGTTGTTCTTGCGAAGAATTTCGGCGCTGACCGAGGCCAGTGGTGGGAAAGAGGTGCATATCCTGAGGCTACGCGCAAGCTTACCCAATTACAGGAGTCAAAGGCGACTGGAGATGCGGATAGAGCTAAAAACCGGAGGATAAGACGTGTTAGCTCCTTGCCAGCTAAGGTAGCCCAGCGACTGATGGTAGCAATGGTTGTTGTGCGCACCCTAGCCGGGGGGTTGGAAGGGAGAATGGTTGAATGGTCGTTGATTACTCCTCTGTTCCCTGACTACACGCCCAAATTCGTACATGACCGTGGGCGGATTTTAACAGGGAGACATAGGCTGCAGCTGCTTAAAATGCAAAGTGACTTCCAGGAAAGGTTTGCTGAAGCATACGAAAGGGGGGAGGTACCTCCCGTCAACTTCGACAATTTAGAAGCTTATGACTGGGAGTGGATTGTTAACTGGGCAAGTATGAATATGGAAGAACCTAGTATGGGTAGACTTCCTAATCTCCCAGCATCTCGTTCACAGTTCGACAACCTATTTGAAATCCGAACGGAGCCAAGCCAGCAGATTGATGAAATTTATCAACATAATCCGTCTACAACCATACCAAGAAAGCGGACACTACTAGCAAATCTATTGCTCTCGGATACACTATCAGAAAACAGGGGGCTACTCAAACCTAGAGCCCCTGATCTTGAATTGCTTGACGTGGCAAAGTCATGGGTTCGTGCTAATGTGGTTACTCCCGAAGAGACATACAAGCCAGCCGAAGCTGGTCAAATAATGAAACGGTTTGGCGAGGATCTCCTAGGCAGAGCAATTCAGTCGCTTATAACTGAGCGCGTTATCTCTATGAGTAACAAAGGCCGGATAACCCCTGGGCGCAATTTTGACCTTACAGAGCAATTCCTAGGCACTATTACACGCAGACGCCCAGTGGAATCAACCCAACTGAAACAAGCAGTTTCATTCAAAACAGATGTTCTTGACCGGGCCTTTCTCTCAGAGGGAAGTTATAATGTGAAGTATGAGGCTGAAGATGGGGATATAATCGTCCTAATCAATCTGGCTTCAAAGGGGCGTATTGTATTAGTACCAAGGGACCCTCCTCGGAACAAGTATGGGCTAACAGATGGAGGATACCTGACGAGGCTCATGGACAAAGAAAAACTTCGATTTAACGTTGAGGTTCACCCCGTTCAAGGCCGATATGTATACGGCAACCCCATCGCAGAGTCTTTAAGACAAACACCAATACCGAAAGGTGACTTAGGCAACTCGATGCTGAGTACAGATTTTGCTCAGCTTCCCAAAATTCCCCTTTGGTTTGATGTGCACTCCAAATTTGTGAAGATAGTCTGGGACCTTGTTATATCTGCAGTCGTTGGAATAATAGTTGCTCGGCCGGCACTTGGGGCAAAAGGTATTACACGCATGCTTGAACCTTGTCTGGCAGAATGGGAGACTCGTTTAGTCTTGAATTGGCTGGCTGATGCTGGGGTTATTGAAAATGCACGAGGCACTACAGAGCAACCTGCTGAAGACACTGGTTGGGTTGTGGGTGAGTGGTGGTGGATGGTTCTTAGCCAACCTGAGGACAATCAAGAATAAATACCATCATGTATATTACTACATTTAATATAGTATATTATTAAATATGCCATCACTTGAACTATATGAATTGAGCTGTAGAAAAAAAAATACCCTTTGATTTCATATTTGAAGATGGGGTAGAACTCCTTTCTATCAAAGCCTAGAAGTATGACACTCCAAACTTCACTATAAGAAAAGCCATTGACACACCAACGCCCCCAGCCCCGGTACACTGTTAAAATATAGATTTAAGGAGAAATCTCCTAGATGTAGAACAACATGCCGGCTGCTAATACAAAGTCCAGGATTGGATACCATTAAATTTCCGCGGGGGTAAACAGTACCTTCCGAAGAATGACAAATGCCAAAGCACATATAATGCCTATAATGGCCCTGTCTAGCCAGGGTCCTTCAGCTTGCTGAGGATTTCTAGCCAACATTTGCGCTTGTCCATGATGTGGTGGTGACGTCTGGCTTCGGATGTCTGCGGAGTTCAGGGTCGCATCCGAGTGGATCTCTGTCCGATGCGAGCTCCTTGCGGCTGTGGCAGGAGTATCATTGTCGGAATGTGACGAGGTCGGTTGAGATGCTTCCCTATTACCATTGTCTAAGTGGGGTGTAGGAGCCGACTTTTGAACCGGCTCTGAATCTGGCTTAGACGTTCCCTTCTCCAATTCATCGCGATATCCAAATTTAAGGCCATAAGGAACAGCATCAGCGACATCCTGCTTTCCCTCCGGCCTACCCTCATTGTCAACATTCACACCTTTCTCACGACATATTTCCTGCCACTCCGCTAAAATATCTGCGTTTGTCTTTCCTTCTGAGCAGGTTGGACACACCCAGTCTCTACTCCTTCTGGCCCAGTCTTTCCTAGCTTCACTACTTGCATCTAGTCCACCGACTTGACCCTTGGGCTCACCGTCCATGAAGCTTCTTATTGCAGTCAGGGCAGTTCGAATTCCCCATGCTGGCTGCCATGTTTGCTCATGGTGTCCGCTAATACTCAGGCATATCTCGCGATTTACCTCAAACCGGCCAGACGGGGTCAAGAAACGAAATGATGGAGGGCGTAGAGGGTATTGCGGGGGGAGGACGATACGGCCATGGTATATGCCATCAGCGTAAGGCGAGGGAGCAGGAGGCCCCGCGAGAGTAAAATGCCAATCGAAGAGGTTTGAATCTGATACCGGATGGGCATGGAAATAAGGTGATGGGGATGAGGAAGAGGGAGAGAGCTCTTGTGCTTCCTTCATGAGCCGCCGGAGTGTCGTGTTATTGGAAGACATGGCGAAATAACAGAGTATCAACTTGTGCTATCTGAACAGCAAGAATTCCCTGACGTCTGCATCGTCAAAGTCGCCCGGCAACTTCTCTTGTTCATATATCAACAGCTATAAATATCGCGGTTGTAGTTAATATAAACGACTCCAAGTTGGCCAAATGAATGATCATGTGACTGGTGAAGCTTCGGATATCTTCAATAATATTCCAGAGTCAATATTCCAGAATCAATATTCGAGAATTTTCTCTCGATTCGGCTCTTTATCTTGAGCGGCATAGGAAAAGGCCAGTGAAATGCTGGAGTATCATACGTGCGGTTTCAGATAACTGCCGTCCAAGGTGCTTCACATTCAAAAGTTAACCAAAGAGACTATCTTCTTTATTACCCTTCCTCTTACTCGTGTCAAAAAACTTCCTCGTTGATACTGATTAGTATTCGAATATTGGGAAAGGCGACTCTATTCGTTTCACTGCTCGTTTGATAACACATATTTAAACAAAAACAAAAGATTCAAAATCGAAAGGAAAAAAGGATAAAAATGGGAATACGCCAGTAGTCCAAAATAAGGAATCCAACTCCTGGTCTAGTAATACTGTGTGATAGACACACTGTATAATATAGACATGCAAAAAACGGGAAACATAAGAATACAGTTAAAAGTAGATAGGCGGGGAAGGCTGATGATAAACCATCAGTCCCAGTCCACCCATTCCTCCGTCGCCCCCTGCCCATTGCCAGCAGACGGCGTTTGTTTGGCATCGTCATTTGATACCAGAGCCTGTTGTTCTGTAGCCTCATCAGAGCTCGTGCTGTAATGGTCAGAAGCCTCATCAATATCGATGTCCCTTTCTCCAGGCCGAGGGCGAGGAGACATAGGACGCAAAGTTTTCATTGAAACACCGGTTGATGGTCGGTCCTCAACACTATTCCCCGTATAAGGTCCTGGCCTTAGGTTTCCTGTACTGTTGAAACGTCCCGTCCATGAGTTTCCCGGATGAGGCTCGGAGCCATGCCAGGAGTGTTGCTGGTTGGGAGCTGGGTAAGATTGGCTATGAAGTGATGCCCGTTGCCAAAACTGTTGCCGCTCACGGTTTGCTTCCTCCCACCTTTGAATCCTCTGTTGTTCAATCCTATTCCTTGCTTCCTGCCATTTACTGCTTGCTTCCCAGCGCCAGCCATCGCCAACAGTAGTGCAAATGGGGATGGGCCAGAGAAAAGGGTTGGGCCCAAAGAGATGTAGTAAGTTTCTTCGCCACCCAAGATCAAAGGCATGCGGCAGCTTCTCACTGTCACACTCTGCTAGATATTCCTCATATCGGTCGTGCTCCCGTGCTCGATCAAGTTCTCCATATGACCTGAAGAGGGACTGCTGAGCTGGGGACTGGTATTGGTCGTAGTGTTCATCAGGGTTGTAGTCATGGGAATGGTGTATCGGGCCTGGGATCCTTGTTCCTATTGTAGGTGAAGCACGCTCTTCACCCTCTTCAGCCCGAGTAACGCCTGGGATAGCATTTGCATGCATATCAATAAACTGTTGGCCGTAGCCTTGAAGAGTTCTCCCCAGGCCATCGGCGGTTTTCCCAGCATTCCGAGGGCGTGGTTGCTGTTGCTGCCATTCTCTCCTGTGCCGATCTAGCGTTTTCCTCACTGGCGCTAGATATCTTGTCTTTTCTAGACACTCGATAGTCGTTAGCCCGCGGACAGCCAGGCTAATATGCCATCCCGTAAAACCGCTTAACACTAAAGACATCATCCCTGAAACGACAGCCAGTATTATGACGTTGACCGGCAAAAACCGCTCCATGTATTCCACATTTTTCATCATTTCATCCCATACCCAAAGGACCGAAACGGCAAAGCAGACGTAGCAAAAAAGGCACGTATATATCAAAAACAGTAAGAAAGCTTTATAGTTATACATTCCAACACAAGTCGCCAACCACGGGCAGTGATGGTCCATTTTCAGAACACACCGTTCGCACGTCGAGCAGTGATGTGTTCGATCTGGTTTCCGGCACTGACATTTCTTGCAGTAGCGTATTTCGCCCATAGAATTCACCGTCACAGAGGTATATTCGGTCTCCTCAGTAGTCGGGAGATGGCTATATTGATGTCGAGACCGGCCGTGAGGAGAGGTCTTAAGAGGTGTCCCTGGGTTGGTGAAGACCGCAACAGTATACGAAATGTTCATTATTAGGTAGATAGATATTCCAAAAACAGCGCCGAGGTTTCCTACATTCTCATTAGAACGTGATAAGGATCTCTTTTTTTTTTTTCACCTGGATGATAACGCATACCTCTCCACCAACTTTTGGTATGGTATATACTAACTCCAGCCTCTACCCATATTGCCCACGTCGTGAGGCCGTATACGAAGGCCAGAGGGAAGTATTTGAAAGCAACGCAGAGAAGCTTTTCGCAGTTTTTAGCCAGTCCGTTCCTTCGATGTTTCGCGGGAGATAAGGGCTCCGGTGCTGCAGAAGCGAATGCCTCCATGGCGTTGGAGGGCAAGAGGGCGGTAAAGTTATTCCAAAGCTATATGTGAGGATGACGAGCTCATCTCGGGGGTCGCTAGAGTTGAACACGGCTGTGTAGTGATAGATTGAAGAGCTGGGTCAAGCTGGGATGGTCGAGTGGATGAGCCTGTATAAATGAAAATTCCACGGCCAAGCAGATAGGATGTATGCTTTAACAACGATATTGCAAGGCCTGCGACCCGGCTCACCTCGTCGCGCGCTTCACCAGCCTGCGAGTTTCTTCTCTGTTAAGATGATGCTTGATTGCTTTGCGGCTTTCGATGCTGCTGCGCCTTGAGGATCAACAGACGCGCGGCTTGGCGGGTCGGCAACGCGAGCTGATTGATATATTGATATATTGATACTACACGGAGTATTTAGTGAAATAGTACGGGTTAAAAATAAAACAGTTGAAGAGTTCCCGTTTTTCAAGTTCTTACTCCTGCTGAAGACGATGAAGAGAGGAAACTATTGATATATTAACCTAATAGCTGCTCTAGCAGGGAATGCCTGGTAAAATCTTATCCCTGTGGTCGAAATACCAAAGCCCTTCTATTATTCATTTAGAACCCTTCTGTCGGATGATACCTCTCAACACTCGCTGAATTGCTCTGCAATATGTTTGTCAAGGCAGGCATCAGGTTTGAATGACTGGTCTTTGCCCGACGCAGAATTTTACACTCTACCTGGCAGGGACTGCATCGTAGAGTCTTTCTCGACCTGGGACTGGGAGCAAATATATCTGCCGTAGTGCTCAACAGACAGGAAGAGAATAGTGATACCCGGTTTAAGAGTTTGGAAGTCTGTCTCAGCCAGATATCGTATTGCAAAGAACCATGGGATACCCTCAGAAGCAGAGCAAGGATGTCCATTATATACCGTATATACCGTATATCACGTCGTGTCATGGTCATACCAGCATCAGGCGAACAAGCCTTGTCTGAGAGATGAGGGAGATATATCTCAATACCACGCCACCTCTCTTATTCATATAGAGTCAGCCCAATGGTTTCACATAAATATCAGGGTGAATAGTCATACTTATCTCCTTACTGATATGGTGGCGGATATACAACCCAAAACAACACCCAGCTTATGCAGCCTATTCCTTGATGTTAGAGATACTACTCACAAGAGCCTAGCTCGGCGAGTACAGGTAGAAATATTCCAGTTGGGAGAGCATGCTTTCATACCCAGAGAGCCGATCTTTCATTTCCGGCTGATATCTTGGAGCAGCTGCATCACAACCTGACAAAGGTCAATATACACACATACGCAAAAACAGTCAAAATATAGGGATACAAGGACGGCAAGGAGAAGAAAAAAAAGTCGGTAGTCGGTTTGGTATCTAGTTACAAGACTTCTGTCTACCTATCTAACTATCTACTTGTCCCTGAGATTTTTTTTTTTGGCTTTGGAGACTGCGTCTCTGGTATCTAGCTAAGATTCTCTGCGAGACTGTATCGAGACTGTGTCTCTTGTGTCTAACTAACCTATATACATTTGACCTCGTCTTAGCTTCATCCCTAAAAGGGACTACTAGTCACCAGCACTGCGTAGAAGTGCGAGGTCGTCGCTGGTGGTCTGCCTGAGTACGCCAGCGAGCGAGGCTTCTCTCGCGGGCTGTCAGACAGACTGGTCGAAAGGAGCCTCTCAGTTGCACCCTGGTGAGGTACGGGTTTGAGCCCGTTCTCACCCTGAAGCTCGTGAGACTTAGGAATCTGAGGGATCAGGTGACTGTGCTGCTATCTGCCTCCCTGATAGCCCATACAGCCCGTCCTCCGACAGAAACCCAGGCCATACACCTTTGGGTGTATGGCAGATCCCAGCGACCCGGCGCTTATATGTGTGAAAAGAAGAAGAAAGGGGATGGGTGTAGGTATGTGGAATGGGAAGAAGTGAATGATAAGGAAGGAAAAAAAAGAGAAGAAGAATTTCTAGGAGAGAGGAGGGAAAGAAGGGGCTTTATATAGACGAACCTGACGGTGGCGAACTCGAGCGTGATCTGAGTGATCTGGGTGATCCGGGTGATTCCATTGATCTGAGTGATCTGAGTGATCTGAGTGATCTAGGTGGCGAACATGCTAGAAACTAGGAAACCAGGCGCCGGTTGAGGACATTATGCGGTCATAGCAAGAGGACAGAACAGTGGACCCAGGGTTCGAGGACACCGAGCAGCTTTGATATCCAGTTTGAATTCCACGGTAACACTGCCTAAATGACGTGAGTCCTGCGCCACCGGCGGAGTTGCTCTTTCATTATAGGGTGCGAGGAAAATCCGGAAGTTGTGTTTACTTTTCAAGAGGCATCATGTCTGGTATAGAGAAGGAGGGAGCCACTGGGAGTAAAATCCTCTTATAGTGGGAGCTCTACCAGTCATCGATATCTGTACGCAATGCCACGAACACAAAGAAGGAGCAGCAGTAGAGCAGGGACCGAAAAGAGAAGCATATACCTGATATATAGATATATATAGATGTATCAAAATGTCAATTTCAGCAATGGAGGCTGAAATAGAGTATCGGATCTTATTAGATAATCACTTTATCCCGACGCAAGGATAAAAATATAGGATATAAGTGGTTACTATATAAACGGTCCAAGAGTATAATTATCCTGAAGAAAGCGCAAAAGAAGAGAGGTTATGACATATTGTGGCATGGCTGGTTGAAAACTTGGATGGCCTTTCTCTATAACAGCATAAACATCAGGCTATAGTAGTAAGCAATAACTGAGGAATCAGTTGCTGATATAGGCCTGGCGAGTATTTATGAGTATACGACAACATAGATGTACTGCGTACCCTCGATGTTTAGTCTCGGAAAAGGTATGACCATCGCTGTGTGGTCTCGCGACATCAGTAACATCGTCTGGGTGAGGAGCTGTCGCCCAGCCACTGGTCCGAGAGGTGGAGCCACGAATAACGAAGCAGACTGGGTTAAAATGTCATGAGGCTGGCATCCTAGATCTTAGCCAACTATTAACGATTGTCGAGGCGAGCAAGTACTCTGTGCCTAGATGGGCTCTCACAACCCAAACAAAAATGGGTGTTACGCCAATTACGCGGGTCTTCTAGGACAGGACGATCTGACGGACACCTTCTGCTTTGTGTAGCTCTGCTAGTAAGAATGTGACCCCCTTTTAGCCATCTTGCTTGTCAGAACAAGCTTCTTCCCTAAAATAGTGTAACCAGGCTGTGATGTCGCGCTGGCTGATCCTATCTTCTGTGGCGCTAACGATAAATACTCCGTCTTTCGTTGCCAGAACACAAAGGGAAGACGTCCGTCCCCTCGCATGTAGTGAAACAGCTCCGACTTGAACATATCTTGTATCTTGCCCATGGGGTCGAGCAGACAGCCTTAGGTAACTTTGACGTCTCTTCGCCGGCCCCATCTAACTAAGCCATCGGCATCGTGTCTCATGTATAAAGATGTGTCATCCTTCTCCATCGCATCCGCAGGCACAGCCGCAATCTGACGGAAGGCCGGGCGGCGCTAGTCCAAAAAAGGAAATATCAGGTTCCAGCAAACAAAAACTACTTTTTTGGCGCTTGTGATCAGAAAGAGTGTTTACGCAACACTTTTGTCCAGCCACCATCTTCCGTCTCTCTCTCTCTCTCTCTGTAGCTTCATTCTTTTTACGACCCTTTCTGTCCTTCGTTCTGTTGTACAGCTCTTGGTCTTGGTTTTGATTTCTGGTTTCTTCGTGTCCTGAACGGCGTCAAGATGGCTGCCAACGACTACTACAACAACTCCTACTCACAAAAGCCCCATCCACCATTACCGCATGATAATGAGTCTCACGACGACCCATGGAATCATAATCCTTCTTCTCCGACTGTGACAGGAGGGGGGTATCCTCACGCCTACGACAACGGCAACAGATACGGTCACTACCATACGAATTCAGACAACGATCTGGGAGACAACCGAATTGGCCATAACAACGATTACTACTCTGAGGAGATCCCTCTCAAGTCAAATGCGGCACCACAAAATAAGCCCGACTGGGCGGATGATACGAGATACCAACCTGCCTCTCACGACTTACAGGCCGAACCCTTGAACCTCAGTGATCCCATCAGACGGCCATCTCGAAAGAGAAGAAAGGGTTACTTCGCAAAGAAGGTTCCCTGGGTTACGTATATAATATCCCTAGTACAGATCATCGTATTCATCGTTGAAATCGTTAGAAATGGTCTGCACCTCCTTTTTTTTCTCCCCGGTGCACTTATATATGACTTGTACGTGCTGACAGATCTTTCAGCCCAGCTAACAGGATCCCCCATCATGACAAAACCCTCCTTCAACCCTATGATCGGTCCATCGCCCTACGTCCAGATATATCTCGGAGCTAGATTTGTCCCTTGCATGCGTAACGTGGACCAACTCCAAAACAACAATCAGACCGTCCTCTTCCCTTGCGCAAACTCAACCACCAATGATGCCCAATGCAGGCTTTCGGACCTATGCGGATTTGACGGCGTGCCCAACCCTAGACCCCACGGAAGCATTGACGATAAGCCAGAACCAAACCAGTGGTTCCGATTTATCCTGCCCATGTTCCTCCATGCTGGTCTTGTGCATATAGGCTTCAACCTCTTCGCCCAGTTGAGCATTGGCGCTGATATGGAGAGAGCTATTGGCTGGTGGAGATACGCTATAGTCTATTTCTCCAGTGGTATATTTGGTTTCGTGCTCGGCGGAAACTTTGCTGCACCTGCTATTGCGTCCACGGGAGCATCTGGCTGTCTTTTTGGCATCTTCGCTCTCTGTGTCCTCGACCTTTTCTACACCTGGGGAAAGAAACAGCGGCCATGGGTTGACCTGATGTTTATGCTAATCACAGTAGCAATCTCGTTCGTTTTAGGCCTGCTTCCGGGCTTGGATAATTTCTCTCACATTGGCGGTTTCCTTACTGGGTTAGTACTTGGGATCTGCGTCCTCCGCTCACCCGATACCCTGCGAGAGCGCATCGGAGTTAAGATTCCCTATGTTTCCATGGGTGGTAACTTGGGAGTTGATGAGAACCAGAAGAAGTTCTACAAGCAACCAGTTAACTTCTTTCAGGGCCGTAAGCCACTGTGGTGGGCATGGTGGCTGCTCAGAGCTGGTGCTTTAATCGGCATTATTTCCTCGTTTATTGTTCTTCTTAACAATTTCTACAAGTACCGCACTACATGTTCGTGGTGCAAGTATTTGTCATGCTTGGTATGTACTCCTTCACCCGATAATGTCAACTGTGGAGATGCTAACAATACGTTCTGCGTAGCCTGTCAGCAACTGGTGCGAAATCGGCGACTTTACTACGACTCCCCTTTAAAAGAGATATTTCCCATATCCGACGCCATTCGACATATTATGGCTCGCCTTTTTTAATAGAGCGTTTACTCATTTGGTTTACCGTGATGAAATGCTGAATACTACTGCCTTGATGGCCCTATACCCTCTACTTGGTTACATGTTTCAAAACTCATTCAATATTACCCTGTATAATCCCACACCCCTTGTTGAATTGCACTGAGTTTCTCTTGGGCTGTGTACTGAAGGACAGCATCAGCATAAGTGATCTGGCGTTTTGGGGTGAACGGCTTCTTTTTCTTTTTGACTGAATGGCTGTCGAAATGCTACTCTGAGATGTGGATGTTAACTTTCATGTTGAAATATTTTCTTTTATTCCCTCATTACTTTATGTTATATATTCGGTTACGTTTCTTTCATCCGACTACATAGATAACTAAAGAGATTATTTTGGAATCTCATACTCCACGTCTTGTCCTTCTGCCTCGAGCCACTGGTGCCCTGCATCCCAGACCTTTCTCAACTCCCCGTCACCCATCTGCACCAGCCTCTCCCAATCATTCTTTGAGTTCTTCGCAAACCAACCCATGAAGCCCAACAGCACCATGTCAGCATATCCAGGGTGCTCTCCCTCAAAGAACGGACCACGGTTCCTCTTTGGGCCAGGACGCCCCTTTAACATCTTCACCAAGACCCCAATCTCGGTCTCTAGACTTTTCCAGGCTTCTTCCAGCGCTTCACCTTTGGCTTCAAATTCTTCAATAGTCATGCCGAGCATCTCCTTCCGCGTACGGTAGAAGTACTCGCGGCTTCGTTCATCCAGGTACCTGGGCACAGCCGGAAGACAAAACCCTACGGCCGGTACAAAAATGCTGCGGAACACTTTCAGCACGGCAACAGCCAGGGCATAGCTGGCCTGTCCGTGGGGAAAGATAGACTTGTATCCTGCATCCGGCGGGAAGATGGTCTCGAGATGCACTGCCAGGGCAAAGCTGTCGTTGAGCGTCGCACCCTCGGTCTCAATGGATGGTTTATGCAGAATTGCTGGTAGAGTGTAAGGTATCCGACCACCGACAAGTGGAGGGACGGACAGAGACTTGAGCAGAGGCTCGATGTCCGGGAAAGCGACATATGTTTGCGTATAGGGAGCATTTTTGTAGTTCAGCACGGCACGAATAGGGAGGGTGTTGGGTGACCATGATCGTGTTTCCCCCTTGGAGGTGCCGTCGAGGTCAAAGAAGTGCACTAGCCTCTCTCCTGCAACTAATTTGGGTGCTGCCATGATTCTTCGTCGTCGCTTTTGTATTTTGTCGATGGGGATCTTTGAGCATATGAAGATGAGTGTCTTCCTCCTGCAAGCCCCTCAGCAGCCTTTATATACCTTTTTATGTCAAAACGAATCCTTTGCATTGCTCATCCCTGCAATTTGATTTATAAGCGTTTCGCATTCGGAGGGATACATGATTTACACCGATTTACACAGCCGGCGCCCAGCAGGAGACACATACTATATGTATTAGAAATTGGATTGTATGTTTCTACCCGCACAGTGAGGCCCATACGGAATACAGGATATGTTTTATGATCATTAGGAATTATCTTGTACTTTTTGCCGAGGTGGGAGCCTACATGGCTAGAGGAAAAAGGGGGTTATGAATAGTCACAGAAGAAAGGACGTCACCCGGACTCCCGTCATCGAATGGAGTGCTCGGGGAGAAGTTGTCAATACCCGCATAAATGGTTGCACTGCCTACGGAAGCGGCACCCGGGCGCATCGATGGTGTTACACCGCTTATAGACCACTAAGTTAGCCGTATATAGATGTTAGAGCCTTAAATAAAACACTAAGAGACTCGTCATAGCTGAATAGGTGGTTATTTGATATGGGTATATGTAAGACAAGGGCACAAGGTAGTGCAAAGGCATCAAGACCCTATGCAAAAATGCCATCAGCCGTGGATTGGTTCGACACTTTTGTACACTTTCAAACCGCCCTACCCCGGCATCAATGCATGCAGCAGTGGCTGGATTGCATCTTGGGCGGGAGTAACATGCGGGCTGGCGTTTCTCAAGTTGATCTTGTTTCGTCTTGTAAACGGAAATGACATAGGTAATTACGCGCCCAATGCGTATATATATATCAGCACAGTTGTTGAGAGTGATAGTCACTCGGTTTGCCCGATAATATGTATTAACCCGATAGCAGAGTCCTAGGCCTCGCCCTTAATACTTATTGAGCGTTTTTCACCTTCCACGATGTGGGTCCAAGAAGCCAGTGTAAGGTACTTTGACGGGCAAATTATGCGTCACTCGCGAACTTCCGAATTGCTCTAGGTTGAGGGTTTCCGCGGAATGAATGTTTATCTGAGAAACTGTTCTCTAATTCGTCCAGATCTAATATTTGTTGTAGTAACGGGCGCCCTAGTATGCGCCAAAGTGCGGTCCGGTTACTCGTTTTGCTATCACCCAAAGGCCCCAGCAGGTAAGAGCTAGAAGAAAGACGCCTTTAAAATCATCTAAAGGGTTAAAACTCATATAGCGCACCTCAACCGGCAGTTCCATAAGTGGAGACAGAGAGCGGTGCGACAATTGGAAGAACTCTGCCGCCATTTCTGTGGAACAACAACCTATCTCCTAGTAGCAAGGAGTTAGTTTTCAGGCTCATCATCCGTATTCTCTACCTAAATAACAGGCCTGGCAAAGAGAATAACAAGGCCAGACGCGCATCCGTTACAGAGTAATTCACCAAGCTTGACATACCAGTTTAGTTTCTCGCAAAGATAAGGCGCTATAACGCAAAAGTGTTGGCCTATTGCACGAAAAGGTGACGTAGAGAGATAGCCTAGGATTGATATAAAGGATACAAGGATTGTTCGTATCACAGGCTGCCAATGCTGTAAAGTGGTTGTTGTTTGTAAGTTGCAAGTTGAAGAAGAGCGATTACGTCATCAGAGATGGTTTTCCATTTCTTGAAAAGTTGACTGAACTTCTGCGATGGGACGACCACATTCTGTCATCGATGTTGGAGATACTTGAGCATCTAGATAACTAGTCGATTACTATAGCAGTCTGAGGCGAAGCTACCTGTGATCAACCCGCTAAGCTTTAATTAACTAGAGGCGAGCTACCAGAGACTAGTTAAGGCAGCATGGCCGAGCCCAAGGACGGGCTTGACCCTTTGATCGAAGCTCTACCTCCAGCTACAGACTACTTGACCTATCTTACTCTTGTCGAATACCAGTTAACTCCCTCTCGCCTGCCGATTCTCCACCGAGTGCTTCAAGACGAGACGTTGACCACCAATATCGGCTGGGATCTAGTAAACATACTCCTCCCTCTCCTCCCAGACTCGCGGGAATGTCTTGACGATGTTGCGAGACTTGGAAATCCAAGAGAGGTTATTCTCAGAGTTTCTGAGGCTTTGATGAAGCTTCATGCTGTTGAAGACGAGGACAAAGAAGATGAAGGGGATGAAGTGAACGATAAGACCAGCATGCAACGGCGTTTGCCTCTCCACATTCTTCAATTTAACTGTCTTTTATCCATGCTCTCCACCCTACATTCGAGGATAAAAACTAAATATGCAAGTCGTTTTGTTGCAACTTCTCTCCATGCGGTGCTGGAGGCCTACACAGAATTCCCGTCTCCAGAAACCACAGCGGCTATGCTGGAGCTCTTGAGAGATATGTCAGGGAAAAAGCGGCCTCGTTTACCCCCACGAAGCATTTCGGAACAAGCGTTAACCCGCTCTACTGGAGACAAGGCACCAGATCCAGAGGCTGACGAACATGTGGAAGGAGATTTATCTGATGTGTCCAAGGAGAACAGATTGACCCAGAAATTATTGCAGTTCGGGCTTATTGAAACTCTGAAGACGTACCTTCTACAGTGTGTTGATGAACCCGCCCCGTCGGGCATGCAATGGGCAGTCCGCCTTCAGGAGAAACTCGATCCACCTCATGCAGAAAACATGCGTCTAACTTGTATTGAACAATTTCAAAACACTGAATACCTGAGGGAAAGGGATACAACTTTGGGTAAGATTGTGGTAAGTAATAGTTTATTCTCAAGGTATATTCAATCCTCTAGCCTAACATCGTGCTAGGCGTTATCGAGAGACTTTGGAGTAGGGACGCAAGATTTGCAAAATATAATACTAAAAGGAGAGAATGATCACCCTCCTCCGCTAGATTTTGACAACATACCCAGTTCCCCAGATGAGATTCCGCTGGAGAGACATGGTTGTATACTTCTTCTAGCTGCGCGACACGTAACGGCTACCATCTTTGGCTCAGGTGCCTGTGAGCAGGACTTACCCTTATACCCAGACCTTGTTAATATCCTGCTTAATTTCCTTGGGGATTATGCATCCCCTTATACTGCCGCTGCAGAGGAACCAACTGCGTTAATCGACTCAATTCTGTCACTCGCTGCCGCGGCGAAAACTAACGCACCTCAGGAGGCCGCAGATGAAGAAGGGTTTAAGACTCTGGTTTACGGTTTAACAGCCTGTTCTCGAGGTCCTGCCCAGTTTAGGACCTTTACTCGACTTGGGTCAATTCCTGCTCGTGTGTTCCATGCATACCCTGACATCCAAGTGAGATACAACTTGATTCTAGAAATTCTCAGTGAAGAGGAATCAGAATATGCAAGAGTATCGGCGTTACAATGGCTCAAAGAAGAACTTATTTCTTACTCCACCAATCCAGAAGATACTGATGGCGGCAATCCCTTCTCTGAGCCAGAGAGTTTTACCTTCCTGTTTCAGTATATTTACAAGTTTTTGAACCCGGCACAGCCATCTACTACGCCTCACCATCCGGAGGGTATCTCGTCAGGAGTATGGATGGAATTTATCCAGGACCTCGCACCAATATACCTTGCAAAACTAAATTTCTATTTCTTTCTTCGCAAGTCACACAAACTGGCCGAGCAACTCCATATTTCCACATTACAACCAATATTCGATGCCAGGTTTCTTGATCCGCTCAAATCTTTTATGAGCCGTCTGTCTGAAAATTCTGTTCTTTCACACGTCGAAGCGGAGATGGGTGAGTCTGCAGTGCAGATGGGAAAGAGTGCGATGGAAGTGGTCCTACAGATAATTTCGGACATTGAAACGGCTGCATGAAGGTGTAAAAGCGTCTAGCCTTTTGTATCTCCGAGTGCAATGCATCTCCAATAGGTAGGAGTTTATAGTTTTCTGATATAGTTGATTTCTACTAACCTGATTACCTTCCTTTCATCTTACCGGGAGCCTGTCTCAGTGAGCTATATATGTGGTAGTAAAGCAGAATTCCACCATCATTCAATAATACGAACAGATGAGTTGCAAAAGGAGTGACTGGTTTAATGATACGTACTCTATTTACAGTAGAGTACTCTGCCATAACCAAAGTCGTTATAATACCATGCAGTCAATACCACCGCTTACTATACCCCCTTATCCATTCTTCACCTTTAAACGAAGGTTCCATTAACATAACGAGTCGATCTGAAACGAGCAACAAGGAAAAGGCGTTCGAAACCGGTTCTCACGGTTCCCGGCTGCGACAACAACATGGCCCATCCATACCCCCGTTACCTTCGCCAGAACGAGGTGACCAAACGATGAATTTGAGTCGGAACGTAAATAATAACAACCCAGCAAACCACAACGAAGAATACGATGACGGTGCCATTAATAGTCACGATCTCGATGGGATGCATTCCGTGCACTGGAATCGCGATTCCATAGTGATAGTACATCCAACCAAGTCGATTTAATGTTCGCCGTATGGGTCCAGCCGGCCGCTGGGCAGTTGGTGTATCAGTTACAGTCGTAACACGATGGGTGATGGGTCGAGGAGGGAGCCTGGACGAGAAGAACATCACAGGTGGTCTCGAAGATAATAGTTGTTCTACGAGTCTTGCTCTGGCTTTCGCTTTGGACTTCTTTTTGCATTTTGGCGGGATTTTCCCCATGATGAGAACGAGCGGTCGGATAAATAAAAGGAAACGAGTGTTTTGAGATTCAGAAACAGTCTAAATTGAACGTTTGATAAAGACTGTCGTTCGATTACTGAAGCGCCATCAGGCAAGTTTTGCTGATTTGATACACTATAAAAGGTAGAAATGGAAGGTGTTTTCTTGCACCTTTTACACTGCGCCTACTCTCAGTTATTGACTTGAGCATCTTGTTATTACCCAATATGAAAGCGCCCGTGGTTTCCGTTATGAGATTAATTTCATGGGTTGTTTATCTTGTCTGATGTTTGGAAGCAGAGAGTCTTTGGCAGACAGTTTAGACTATTGGTAGGCGTTGGAAGAGGCCGTAAGGAGCTGCCAACTCGGAGAGGCCGTGGTAGTCAAATTCAGGGGATGAGACAAAAGTTAGTCTTATATCGTAGGAGGTTTGAATGTCTGTATATATTACTTGAACAGTCGTTAATCAATCCTTTCAAGTCTTAATGCATTATCTGTTGCATATTCATTGTTTGCTGCACCCAAGGACCTTTGAGGTTATCAAATATGGAAAAAGATTCGTTAAAAACTGGTATAGTTATGAATATATAAACAACTATACACAAAGTCGCTCTTCCTTTGCCCTTGAGTCTTAACAAAACGCTCTCGCATCATCGGCGGGGTCTGTGAAGGGAGAAGGAAGAAGACTGGAGAAAGGAAAGATTTGTGTACATATATTGGGCCATATATATCCAAGTATGACAGGATCAAAAGTATCGAGCCATTAAAAAAAAATAAACAGGAAGTTAACCGTGCTCCGAAATATCAAAAATGAATGATTGATATCCTCCAACATTCCCCCATCCACTTTTTTTCCTTTTCTCAAATCTGGTGTCGTTCATATCCAAACAGCCCCTTCAAGGTGGGTGTTAGTAGATCACAGTGCTAGAGAGGAAACATGCTAGCAGAATGTATGGTTGATAGAAGGCTGATTAAAAAGTGTGACACACAGACATATACGTATAAATTGCAAAAGAAACAAAGGTTGGCCGGGCTAGCTGAAGAGACGATGGGGCGAAAGGGGTTGGAAAATGATTGATGAGATGCAGGAAGCTCCTTGTCCTTGTGCAAAGCGTTCTCAGGCTTGAGATCATCCATAACCTTGTTGGAGTCGTATCGAACGTGGGATGGGGGGCATAATCGGATTTCAAGGGCAGGATGCTGAGAATATGCTTTCTCATGACTTCGTATAATCTTTTAAGGCGCAAATTCGAAGTAGATGCAGTTCCATGACCGTCATTCATCACTTCACCCCCCTTTAGTTATCATCATTTCTTCATCATAGCCAATTTGTCAAGTAGACGGGTGTCTACATAACAATGCATTGGCCGGTGCTTCCACGAGCGTTGACAGGACCTAGGACTGAAGTATTAGCCACTTGATCCTACATGGAAACGTACTATAAATGTCAAATGGTTCTTACTGGTGGTCTGAGTTGGGGCAACGTAGGACTCCATTTCGAATAGGTAAGTGATTTCTTGCTCGAAGCTTGAAAAGTTGAAGTAGAAAGATTGAAGCTGTTTGTAAAGGTTTGATTTGTCTTGATAGTGATGAAACAAATCGTTAAAAGAAGAGGCGCATCGAAGGGGATTATATAGACTCGACCCCTTGCTTTCAACGCTGCATATCGGGCTATCGTTTTCGACTGATAATGGGCCACAGTATAGCCTGGAAGACCGGAGACGCCGTACTAGCCTTCTTGCTCTGAATATCTCTCGTTTTGCTTTTTCCGGTAAAGCGTCTGATGCTCGGGCCATTGTGATTAATCTCTCAACATAAAGGGTAGTGCTGCGGAGAAACCTGGTGTTTTGCAGAGTTTCTTTATTCTCCATATTTGGTACGCAAGGCACGGACAGGAAACTGTTTTGCTGGAAAGTAAGTGACCAGGGGGATAGGTGATGAACTGGCTGAAGACCCGATAAGTGGAAAGATATCGGTTCATCATGCCGAAAACGGAACGGGGCAGGAACCTAGGAATATTTAATGAGGAATTATGTGTTGCGTACGGAAGGAAAACAATAGATACGGGTTTAATATTGATGTTCGTCATCGTATTGGTGGGCCCGGTTATAACATTGTTTTTGACTTTGTATTGTGTTTTTTGGAGAACACCTTGAAGATGTGGTGGAGTGGGTAAGAAACTAACTCATGGTAATGTGTTCACTAAAAGAACAAAGTATATCCATAGTGACTGGGTAGCTGATTATGCCGTATGGCTCGGCCTGGGGCACAGTTAGACGCAGTGATGGCGCCCAAAAAGAAAGTAAATACTTGGCAGGCCGTTTAATGTAGGTAATCGCTTCCTGCGGCCAGTGATAACCAAAAAAGAGTCCAAGTATGGAAGTGTTCATGGCACTCAAAACCGTCGTGTGACTCAGAAAGCGCCTAAACCGGCGTTTCTAAATGCAAGGCGTAGTAACTACCAAAGGGGCATATTCGGTCCATTGAGCCACTTGGCAGGCCTGGGAATAGAAGGGTATTTAGAAATTCAGGACACCTAAACTAGCTTGGGGCTCAGATGAAATATTTCATCTTGAAATACGAGCGCATAGATCGAGAGAAAAAAATGTACCCGTTTTCTCCAACTGAATCTGTACTTCCATGGTTCAACCAAACCAGAAATGCACAAGATACTTGAAGTGGTACTGAAAGCAGCAGCAATCCAAGAGAGACTGCAATTAATCTTTGTTTTTAGTAGATATACATCTGTTCAGATGCACGGCCCGCATCCACAGAAGCACGCCTCAAGCAGCCTGTGGATCCTGAAACCTTTCCCTCTTGGGGAAGACGAGTAAGGATAACGGTGCGGCCATCAAAAGGTCTAATCTCCATATACTACTTATTCTGAGCATCTAGAGGGTGTATAACACGAGCGTTGGCCTCAGAAACCATGGAAACCGCGTGTTCTCTCCAGGCATAAAACTAAGAGCTTGTGTTCTTCAAGGTAAAAATACCAGGGCAGCGGACCGGATTTGGACAGTTCCCCGTGTTAACGTAAGAAAGGGAAAGCCAGCCCGTCCCTCTCCATGGCCACCGTCGAAAACTGCAGAGAACCGGAGAACCGTAGAAAACTAGATCAAAAACACTGCGTTGCAAATTTTTTGTTGCTAAGAACAATATAAGGACAACAAAACGCTAGTCCATATTAGGCCTAAAGACTTGGAAGCCATGAGTCAGCAGCCAATGAGAGGGCTGGAAAAGCAACGTCATCTCCACGTCTTAATATTGTTCTCCGCAGAACAATATCAGAGCGGCATCTGAAAAAAAAATGATAATAAAATAGTTTTATCTCCAACTCCCTTGAAAGAGACAACACAAAGAGATAATATTTACCAAGATAAGGCACGGAGGACATCCGAAAGGATAACTTGCCGCTTCAATTTAGAGGGTCGTCTAGCCATCCGAGAACACTTCTCATATTCCAAACGTTCGTCATTAAAATATATCCAAGGCAAACAAAAATGACATGACATGGCATGGTGGCCAAATACAATTATACGGAAATAATATTCCAAAGACATTATATAATACGTCAAAAGACATCCTGTAAAGGAACAAAGGTTGATCTGGATCCTCGCCAGGCGCCACTATGGGTAGATGGATCATCAAGTGTAGAGGGTTTCGGTGAACGAGTTCAGGTTCAATCCTTCTTTGGCGATGTCTTCCTCCGCTAAGAACATCAGTGGCATTTCAACAATGGTTCCCTTGACCTTAGCCAACTCTTCCTTGACTGCTTTTACACCTTCGGGGAACTCGTCACGAATCACATGGCCCGGTAGATACCGTGGCTGGTTTTCCTCCTTACCATCCGGCTTACGGAAGTTATACTCATAGAACTCTTTGTAGTCGTTCCAGTTACGGACAGTATCGTCCGGCACCACGTGGAAGACCTTTCTGTAGACTTCAGTGTTATGTTTAGCACGCGTGTTCCAAAGGCTATGGAAGGTATCAGCAACAGGGTCTACTACTATGTTGTCCTCTGGTGAGCCGAAATCATATTGATTAGGAACTCCGACGGGTTCACAGTTGGCATCAGGGCGCTGATAATCTTGAGGGTGGAGCAATCCAAGGTGCTTCCGGCAGAGCTGCCGTCGGAGGGTTGCGGCAAACTTGCTGACGGCATAAGGCTGGCCATTCATCCGTGAATCTATCGCCGTTGGGTCTTGGATGATGACTGCAATCTCAGAGTCATGGTCACCCAGCTGGGAACGGTCGTTCAGATTTGCACTTCCACAGATCACAGTACGATCGTCGGCGATGAGAACCTATTACCAACAGTTAGACGAATAAACATCTCGAAGAGAAAAAAAGGATGAAATACCTTCGAGTGAACATAGAGCTCCTCCGTGACGAAGGCATCAATTTCAGACATATCATCGTGATGCTCCCAGGGAACATTACGAATATCCTCTCCTCCAAGCATATAACACGAGCTTACGGTGTCCCATCGGCCACTAGCGGCAGACTGTGGATTTGTAGCGGCTACATGCTGGGCGGCCTGCTGATACTGGGGGTACGCAGCTGTGGTATCGAAAGCAGTAGGCCTCGATGAGGTCATAGCAGCATCATGCTGCTTTCTTGCATCTTCATAATTCACTCCGCTCGCTTTTTCTGCCTGGCGCATGATGGCACCGGCGTTTATGCGGTCATAATTGCGCAAGTTGTAGAAACGAATGTAATCCATGGGGTTATAACCTTCTCGGGAAATCACCTCCATGATACTGTTTCCTCCACGGTTGATAGAGAAATACTGGAACTCCATGATTGCGCGAGTGCCTAAACTGCCATCCTCGCGGAGGTCGCCGGGAAAACCAGGCACAGCAGGAATGATTACGATCATCTTATATTTCTGTCCTGCCTTTGCGGCGCGGAGGATACGTTCGACAATCGCCGCACCGATCTTATTTTTTACTGGCTTCTGTGCATCAGACGTGGCGGTGATGAAGAACTGGTTTTCAATGTAGATAAAGTGCTCGCTATCGCGGATGATGGCGGCATATGCATCTGCAATTGAATGCTCCGTCTCGGTACCGTTGCTCCATTTCGCGCTGCTGCGAACTATCTGACAAGACACATTTGTATTGGAATGACCTTGGCCTTGCCCTGGAGCGCCGCCAGTAAGGTATCGATCCTGATAGCGATGGACTTGGCCCGCTAACTGTGCACGTAGAGTGTTACCAAAGCCGGTAATTTCACCCTTCAAACCCATACCACGGCTGCCCTCGCCCTCGTTATACTCTTCAACGCCACGGCTTTGAGTGGGAGGATTACCCTGGCTGGGTGGAGGGGGGAAGTACGGAGCGTCAGACGTTTGTCCCTGATATCCACCAGTAGATGATGTAGCTGGCGGAGGCCCAGGAGGAGGTGGTGGGTAGTATGGTGATTGGGACCCTTGCTGCGTAATTTGTGGATTGGGTGGCGGGTATTGTTGTTGGCTACCCTGTCCTCCACCCGGCTGCTGATATCCCTGGGACCCAGTATTCGACGGGGCTCCTGGGGCTTGCTGTGATGAAGAATGCTGGGATCCCATACCCATACCCATCGGCTGATGGTAAAGCTCAAGTCTAGAGACGCGTGGGACTTTGCGAACGGCATACTTCTCATCATAGATGAAATTCCAACGATCCACAAAGTGTTTCCTTAGATCTTCCACGGCTGGGCCGTGCAAGCTGACGGCAACATCACTCCATCCCATACGAGAGTTCGACTTTCGGTCTAATTGGTTGTTCTCCCAGTGGACAACATCTTGGAAATCCAAAACTCGGGCATTGTTGTAATCTTGGCCAGGGAAGACAGCCTGGTTCAAGTCAGCTGGGTGGACATCAGCAATAGAATGTTGATATGTATCCCAGCGCCCGAAGCAGAGGTCAAGGCCACCCATGAATGCGGTCTTGCCGTCGACAATGCACAGCTTCTCATGGTGTGCCCAGAAAAGGACAACGCCCCCGCTGAGTCCATACACTGTTTTAAGGGCATCGCTAGACAGTTTTGAGATACCTGCGGCGTTAAGTGTCAGATTCTGGAACGAAGACATCACATCTGAGTGTACAGTTTGCTTGTCTGGTAAATGGTCTGGGTGACGGAATACGACAATGTTCTCGTGCAAGTCCTCAAGATGGTGTTTAGTATGGGATGACGACACTAAAGGGGAAGAACCACGTTAGCCGGTGTACAAGTATCATGGCGGAGTAGAAAGCTGACTTACATGACAGCGCCTGGGTAACCTCCTTGTAGACGATGATGTTTACACGAACTCCTCTCTGAGCAGCCGCTTGGAGCATCCTGTCGATACGATACTGTTCATTCTGAGCTGGAGGCCGCCTGAGGTATAGTTCCGGAGATAGCCACCCTACACATCCACTCGTCAGTGCTTAAATCTTAATATCAACAAGAAAAGGACATGGAGGCCCCTACAGTCAAGAATCCAAATAGACTCCCTGGCAGTTTCCAGCGCTCTAGAAACAGCCCACATGTAGCTGCATCCATCAACATACCATTTGGCATCACCGTAGTCTCGGACAGGCGCAAAGCTCCCGTATCTATTCTTCAATTTGGAACCGGTAGTGCCCGCGCCATATGTAGCATAAGCATGCGGATCGAGATTGGATCCAATCCGCTGTGCCATCTCTGAACCGATGCCTTGTATCTTGCCAAATATGCCGGAGACTAGGTCGGGCTTTGGAGGCTTTCCACTGTTATCACCACCACTAGAGCTCTGGTAATATTGAGGATTCTGTCCATGAGTAGGATCAGGTCCGTACGGTGTTCCTTGCTGGTTGGATGGCGGCTGTTGATACTGTGCCTGGCCTTGGGGGTTGTAACCATGGTTCCCAGATTGGCCCTAAAGTATGTTAGCCAATGGTGCCATCCGTATATCTATCTGGAAGAAGGTCATAGTAAAGAATAACTGGAGTATATCTCTGCTTACATGTTGCTGCTGGCCGTGCTGCTGGCCGTGTTGCTGTGAGTACTTATCATATTTATCACGGAATGTGCGCAGAGTGTCTCCTAGAAAGCCCCTGGTGCCACCGCTGCCTCCAGAAGCACGATCAGACTGCCCGGGAATATTCCCATACGCCAGATGGTCTTCGTTTCCAGCCATGACTTCCGCTTGTCCTTCTTCCGATCGAGCTATGGCGGTGCAGCTGCAGCAAGATACCTACAGCTCGGAATGGGCGATACAAACGGATGGAGCACACTTTCTTATACTATACGAGAGATTCCAAGTCGTACACTCATCGACACAGGCGTTCGACAGAGAAAGAGAAACTGGTTTATATGTTTTTGTATGGTGACCTGCCTGCAGAGCGTGGGATTCTCTCAGCTCGTTCGCGGGGAAAAATCGTGGCTGAGCCGTTGTGAAGTGAAACTATGGCGGGGGAACTTCGCGCCACTTCGACTTGATCATTAATCTCTTATGATACGGACAGGATGATGTTACTATTCAAGATATACGAGGACGAGGACGACGATACTACGATAGCTTAGACACGCTCTGTGGTTGACTCTTCGTGCCTCTCGACTGCAGACTTCAGCGCCTCCATCCTCTCCAGGCTCTCCTTACTCCAGGTTTCCTCCACCCGATAGAAGGCCTCTAGCACGGGAACGTCCGCCGGAATAACGACCCATTTCTGCTTTGTGGAAGTGAATATATGGACGTTTGGCGGCAGGGCGTTCGGCTCATCCAGCGTTCCGACTCGAACGAAGGAGGTCAGCTTCTCCGTGTCTGGATAATGGCTCCAGAGAGCGACTCGACAGCTGCTGCAGCGTACAATCCCCTGGCCTCTCCCGCTGGCTGATGGCGTCTTGACCGTCTCCGTCTTTCCCTCTAGCAGCACGCAGCGGTCGGATTCGATGACGGCGTTGATGACGAAGGCTGAGCCCGTTTCACGCTGGCACCCTAGAGGAGGGGTTAGAAACGATGCTCTCTTGACGATGTAGAGGGCTTGCTGTTCGCTCTTACAGGTACAGTGGCAGCAGTGGACTATCAGAGGAGCCGTCTTCACCTGGTAGCGTACTGCTTTGCAGGCACATCCTCCCTCCAGCGGATACTCGACTTGGGTTGACATTGTAGGTCTACAAAATGGATGATAATTGCTGGCAGGCTGAAGATGATGCTCGTTTTAGAGCTTTAATATATAGCCTCGTATTCGTAGCATTTCCGCAGCTATAACTACGATGTGTACAAGCAAGTTACTATCATAATGCCTGCAATAATGTACATAGCTGCACCTTTTCTTAGTAACGTGGAGATAGATATTCTTCCCCGCAGTGGGATCCTGCTTTGCATCTCTAGACAGTTTGATATTTGATACAAGAGAAGAGAGAAGCTGACCCGAGTTAACTACGGTATGCAAAGATGGATCTAGTCACTCTAGACGTACGTTGTCTCTCTACCACCTAGTCCAGTGCACGATAATAACCAGATATACAGGCAACCCAGCACGCAAGCTACCCTGAATACTGCTCCTTGCTCTTCCAGGGCAAGGCAAGCAAGCAGCTCTCCTTTGAGCAGATTGCAAACCACCTTGGCCGCAGCGAAGTAGCGGTAGCAGCCCTCTTCTACGGCCATGCCAGAGCATCCCAGGAGGATGTCGAGAAGCTCTGCGAGCTGCTGGGGATACCGCCCGCCGACCTGAGTAAACGACTGCGAGGGTTTCCTGACCGTGGAAAGGGGGTTGACATGCCGCCCAAGGATCCTCTCATCTACCGACTATACGAGATCGTGCAGAACTATGGCCAGGCATACAAGGCTGTCATGAACGAGAAGTTTGGAGACGGCATCATGAGTGCCATCGCTTTCTCGACCAAGGTTGACAAGGAGCTCGACGACCAGGGAAATGCCTGGGCAGTGATCACTATGAAGGGGAAATGGTGAGTATTCTTAGCAGAATTTTTGCTACAGTATATATAACTGATTGGTATCTCAGGCTGCCGTTCACTCGGTTTTAAAGAGCCATGGACGCTCCTAAGGGCTTGGATGGTAAATACGTCTTGGTCATGTCTGCTATGAGTGTCGGATGGTCTGGATTCTGGTGCTATGGATGAGTATCGTTAATTTCTGGTTCTGCACAAGAGTCATAATTAGTACCTATGGATTCAACCAAAGCTCATTCACCTTTCACACTTTGCCAGTGAATATATATATATATATATATAATAGCCGAGAGAAAGAAGTCTATCTTCTTTAGTGACAAGCTGTAGATTCCGCCGTGATCTTGCAACTTCCGTGACGCTGGACTGAGCATACAAAAAGACATTTTTTTCACACTCCAACCTCATCATCTTTTTTCTACTCACTATCTAAAGCTGACAGAAGGCAGAGATAGAAGGCAGAGATAGAAGGCAGAGATAGAAGGCAGAGATAGAAGGCAGAGATAGAAGGCAGAGATAGAAGGCAGAGACGGAAGGCCAAATATGGAGAATCAGAAGCCTGCCAAAGACCCGAGAGCCTTTCCCTGCCCCTACGAGGGCTGCCTGCAGGCGTTTCCATCCGCAGGACAACTGATCAACCATAAGAAGTTCACTGCGGATCATGAGTACTGCGAGAGATGTAACGAGGACTTCCAGTTCGAGGAAGACTTACTCCTCCATAAAATGAAAAGCTCCAGACACATCATCTGCCCTGTCTGCTTTGATGATTTCCGTAGTGAAGGTGGTCGAGATGTGCACATCCAGCAGGTGAGTCTTCTCTCTCAGTCAACAGATGAAGAGCACCAACTAAACGGCAATAGTTCCACCGTGAAGAGCAGAAAATCGAATGTATCGGGTGCAAGGCCAAGTTTCTCCGTGCCGCCGCCCTGATGGTACATATCGAACAGGGCCGCTGCGAGAAGATCAGCGTCGACAAATATCGAATGAGACGTGTTGAGAAGAAAGCTGTCAAGGAGGCGATGGATGACCAGCTGCTCGCTCACCATGCCTTCTTGCTCTCCTCCGCTACCTCCAGCATTGACGGAGGAGTCGGTGTCGACGGTTTACTGGGTGAGAGCTCTCACAAGGTAGCCGAAATCGAGGCAAAGAAGGCATCCATCACTGAAAAGATGAGTTCCCTTGGACTTGGAGCTGGCCTGGCAGGCAACAGTGCTATCCCCGACGCACTGGCTGGGTCCAAGTCCGTTCGTAGCACTAAACAGTGGCCTACGCTGCCTGGAGGAGACAGTGTCAGTGACGGCAGCGGGCCTTTACCCCGATACAACTACCAGATGGAGGATCTCATGGCCTTCTCGGATGCCCCTGATGCCGGAAGAGATGACGACAGGCCAACTATCGAAACAATCATCCCCGGCCCGAGAGCTCCCAGTGCTTCAGGCTCCGGCTGGGATACCTCTCGCATCGTCCCAGCCCGCACACTGACCGAGATGGAGATTAGCAGAAAGATCAGTCTGTCTGAGGGTGAGCTCAGCAAGTTCTTCAGCGAAGTGCATGGGACTTATATATGCCCTTGCGACACTTCCTTCAAAACCAAGAAAGAACTCGAACAGCACATCTCTTCAGGTGTTCATGCAGGCGGTGTCGCTCGGTAAGCTCGTCCGCCCCTACTTCTTTCTATGCTCCCCTTTATTATCCTGTCCTAACGGTTCTTTTCTGTGGTATAGTTGTCCGGTCTGTCTGCGCATGTTCAAGTCTTCCGCCGCACTCGTTGCGCATTGTGAGTCCGCCACCAAACGCTGCAAGATCAGCCAGACGAAGAACTTCGGCCAGGTAATCGATGAGATATCCGGAGGTATTATTGGAGCTGCCGGTCGTAACGAGGATGGAACCGTCCGCTTTGAAGCTGCGCCGGGAGCCAAAGCGATCGAGTGGTGACGGCTTCTTCTAGGACGAATATGGGATATCCCGAAATGGAGAAATGCATTCTATGTCCCTTTCATCCAGCATATTTGCGGAGAACATACAGCGGTGTAGTTAGATAAAATATTCAAGAAATGGCAGCAAAGAATTTCATCTTCATCAAGCCAAGCTTTGCTGGGCCAAAAAAAATAAGAACTTTGGACGTTTTTCACCATCAAAAAGTTGACGTCGTTTGATCAAATATTCTACTTCATAGCATCGATAGACACTCAATTGCGATATTCTCTGCCTCCAATAATTACACATATCGAGAAGACACCATTTACACCATATCGAGACAATCTCAGGCTTCAAATCATGTCGCAGTCCGCAGAACTCGCCCAGAAACGAGCAGAAGACTACGTGAAATTCAAGCACTATGCTGCCCTTGGGCTCCTTGTCGCTGCGCCAGTGATCATTGCTTTGCCTCCCCGGAAATTCGATCTTCATACTGCCTCGCTAGGCGCTGCGTTTATCATCTCTGCAAACCATCTCGCTACTGAACGGACAGGCAAGGGAATAGTGTCACATTTGGGAAGTTTTCTTCCATCTAAGAAAATGAACATGTTCAGAGACCTTCCGACAGATAAAGCCGAAGAGTTAAGTGAACGGATGCGCCTTGCAAGAACACAGGAAAAGGAGGTAGAGAGGTTAAGAATGGGAATGGAGGGCGAAGGGGAAGAACGTACCGGCCTGAATGGCGTGGTGAAAAAGATATGGATGGGAAATGAGACAGAAGGTTGGGAAGAGAGGAGACTGGAAGAAGAGAAAAAAGCCCTGGCAGAAGGGAAAGGGTATACAGATTTGATACTTACCTACGTGAGAGAAGCTTGGAGGATGGATGAGGGCGGCAAAGAAGGTAAAAGAGAGACGATGAACGAACAACATGCAGAGAAAGAAAAAACGGATTCTACGAGATAGTGCTCGCTGTTTACCAGCTCTTCTACATATCAGATGCTTGACTTAGTGATGGGATAATAAGGGGTTAGCGGCTGGACTCGTCTCGGATAGAATATACCCTTTAGATGTCAATCTTCAGCGTCAATAGGATGGAGAACAGTGCAGGAGTTTACGGACAAAACATCGATATTTTTATACCTGTGGTGAGCTATAATACTGATGGCAGCACGGCCATGACCCTGCTACATCAGCCTACCGCTTATCCACACACTGGCCACCAACGACGGGAATATATACGACAAGGCCCGTGAATGTACAATACAATGCCGCCACTAGCAGTGGCTACTACTTAATACCTCTTTGACAGAGATTAATATAACTAATCCACTCATTATGTTCGAGATACCCTCAGTATGAAATTTCTAGCATGAACCAGTCCTCTGCTAAAGGCTGCTGGCGTATCAACATAAAGACGCAGCATATCAAAAAGAAAAAATGTCCAAATTTTCCAGGATCAACAAGTCAAATTTCAAGCATAAATCCATAACCACCAGCGCCAAAGTCCTATTCCTATAACCGAGGAAAACTGAGTACCAAAATCAGACAGGTACCAAACACCAAGCTGTCAAAGACCGGCACAGGAAAAACCGATATAGTCGAATGAAAGAGCGTACTATCGTTAGAGGGTTAGAGAGATTCTTCTTCAAAGAGAATGGGTATCATCAAACATACTTGGGGTCCGAATAGGCATCGATTAGGCTTTCGAGTCGTCTTTCTTGGGCTCGCTCGGTTTGTCAGGATTGTTCTTTGCTTGAGGTTCCGTCTATATACCTTCTTAGTTATGCTCATCTCACCACAGTCGATAGAAGACTTACTGTGCTACTCTCTCCATCTACCGTCACGGTCATCAGATTCTCTCCCCAGATCTCTATCGCCCACGACAACATGTACGCGAATTTTTGTGGTCTGGGTATATTCCCCTCGATGAAAGTCGACTTGGGGACGAGAATGGGACAGTCTAGCGGGATTTTCGATTCCATTTCGATTATTGGCCGTTCGTTCTTGTTTCTTGAAGGGGTCATTATTCCTTTTCTTTGTGGAAGTTTGTATCTTCAGTAAAATGTTGTCTGTTGCAAGGAATATGTGCGGATGGATGAGTGAGGAAGAGAACAGGAGAAGAGAAAGAAGAGAAGAAAGGTTTCGAAAGGATTTTTTTCTGGTTATTATCATGACTCAAGCTCTGACGCACAGCAGTGAACGTATGAATATCTGGCACTACTTTTTGGATCCATGGTTGGTGATTTCCGCCTTTTGTGATGCCCAAGAACCAAGAACATCGATGTATATGACAAAGTAATAGACACATTCCCTTACTGACTCTACATTAACACTTTAGACTCTTGGTCTTGTTTTTTTCATGTCTCTGATACTTATTTAGGGAGTCATATGGGCTATAGAATGTATCAAAGGGGTTAAGCCACTAGGGGGCCTAAGGTAATCAAGCTTCATCTGATGCTTGATATATAATGGGTCGACACTCTATAGCCCATCCATAGTATCCTACGAAGGAGCTGAAGGTTTCCTGCTTCCGGCTGACTAAATAGTGACTTGAAGACGTAATTTTTATTCGAATCTGCGAGGAAAATTATTACTGGGATACCTCAGCTATTCTTCGCTTTTTTTGTTCTACTTTCAAGACTCGATGACTCAATACTCTCCCTTTTCCGCTTTCGTTGCCTCTCTCGTTTCTTTCGTCGAGTTTCTTCCCTGAGCTTTAACCGCGCTTCAACTTCTTTGGATATATCTTCAAGCTCGACTGAGGGTATAAAATCTGATGGAACAGAAACATCCTCCTTAGCGGGAGGGTTGTCCAAGCTTTTCGGTTTCTTAATAATAGTTCTTTCTTCAGCCTTATTACTGGCAGAAACTAAGGAGTCGCCTGAATTTCGACGCCGTTTTCTGCGGGAAGTCTGAGTAGTGGTAGATGGCGTTGGATCAGTATCGAATGCAGGTTTCCATGATTCTCTATTTGTGCATGGTTTAAATCCTGCAACACTATTCATCACGTCTTTGGTTGCAGCGCCTGTCTGCCTTGAGCTTTTTGATCTGGTTACCGGCCTTGTTGTACTCTGTAACATCTATTACTGTGTTACTTTTGGAATAACAAAAAACAGAGGTAACCTCAGAGGGAGAGCCTGACTCACAAATTCATGCCTGATTTTCTTAATCTCCTCCATAAATCGCTGGCTTTGATTTACCATTGCCGAGATAGCGTGAAAAGAAACTGTCGACGGTGGTATCTGGTGGCGAATTTTCGAACAAAGCTCAAGATGAGTATTTACATTTGATTCATGTTGCGAGAATAGCTAAATAATTAGGTGGTTAGAGTAACTAGAAAGAAGGAGAAAACCAGAGCTAAGTCGGTTCTGGGTATAAGTTTCTGGCATTAATGGCGGCTTACCTCCAACCACGGAATGGCTTCATGCGGCCCTTGTGACTGGACGTGATCTTGCAGTAACCCATTGGGTATTTCCAACGAAGAATAAGTCATCTTATGTAGTGGGGAACTGTCAATTTTATATCCAAACAAACCTAAAGTATCAAACTCCGCAAGTTGCCTTTACGATAAAATTCTCGACGGTTTAATCAAGCTTCGGATGGCGGCTACGAAACGCTAGGACTCTGATTGGCGCGGCTGTTGCGGATCCGTCCCTCAGTCACGTGGAGTACAAGTTTAACTCTGCTGTGAAGATTCGACGGGGTTTTGTTCTATCTATCCTGTATATTTCCTCTTCTTTTATTCTAGAGCCCCAAATATTCTAACTATAACTATAGTTATATCGTCATTTGAGCAGCCAACAAGACTCACACCTTTATTCTTCCTTTTTTCCGATGGTTCCCCCCTTTCGCAGACCAAAGAATGAAATAATAACCACAAGAGCACAGCTCGAAAATATCGTCCAAAAAGCGCCTCTATAACCCGACATGAGGTTTTCTTTATGATCGCGAAGTTTGTTATGATCTGTAATAGACGCAGCAATAGACGCAGTCACTGCGAGACCGACTGAGTTGCCAAACTGGGCGACCTCGTTAAATACCCCTCCAGCTAAGGATTGAATATCCGGTGGAAACGCATCTGAGATGACTAGGTTGGATACCGTGAATAGGACTATATATGTTTACCATATTAGCTTGAATCAAACCATGAACGAGAAAGGAATGCATCAGGGTCCAATACCATCCGGATTCACAGGCGAGAGGAACAGGGCCCAAAATGGCGAGAACCAGTAATTTTCCCCAACTTTGATGGTTGCCATAAGAATAGGTGCAATCATAGTTACTAAAGCAGAAACAACACCGAGGGTTTGGACTTTTACTCTCGATATAAGATATGCTGTCGCAATGTTGACACATGCACCCATAATAATATGGGCAAGGAAACGGATCGAGCTTTGAAGCGCAGTCAAGCCTTCAACCTTTTGGAAACTATTACCCTATCAGAGATGACAATCACAAAACCAAGAGATTTACTCACTAGAGAGTGGTGAAATACTCAATTCCGTTAAGAGATGCCCAGCAGAGGAAAACAGAAGCACATATGGAGGTAAATGCACTATTTTTCCACAGCTTATTTGGGATGAGAGCTGGTTTTCCCCTCTTCACCTGGATATTCATCCAAAGTGGGAATGCCGCAAGCAATACGCCTGAAACAACGAGCAGGGCAATGTTTTGGGCATCACTCACCCTCGTATATGAAGATGTTGTCATAGCTAAAACATACATCAATAAACCCAATGCAATACTCATAATGATAGCTCCGAGCCAGTCAATGTCTTCCATAAGACGGCGGTGCCATGGCTTATCTGAGTGTCGATGAACCGATGGCAAGGACCATATAGAAGCTGTAGAAAGGCAGAAGTTGATAATCGCCATCATATAATATGACCATCTCCAGCCGACGGTGTCCGTAAAGACGCCTCCCAAAACTAACCCAGCGGCATAACCAAGTGGTTGGCCCATTCCATTCATGGCAAACGCAACATTGCGCCATGGGCCTTTCGGGAAGGTATTTGTAATGAGACTGACCGCTGTAGGCAGACACATTGATATCGCAGCGCCTTGAAAAGTTCGAAATAGGATGATCTGGATGTCCGTCTGGCAGAAGCCGATAGCAAGGGTAAATATTACGAACAGGTAGCTTCCGACCACCCACATTGATTTAGCACCAGTCACGTCTGCAACGGCACCAAATATAAGAAGTAGGCAGCCGGCAGCGAGGGCATAAACTGCCGCTGGCCAGAGGATCAGGCTTTCAGACAAATTTATGTCACTGGCTATCCGTGGTAGGGCGGCGATGAGGATACCTGACCCCATAGTGTTCAGGAAACTTATTCCAGCCAGAGTAATGATAACCGTAATCCCTTTAGCCTTGGATATTTTAAGAAGTTCAAAAGTTGGCGTATCTCCATCGTCTGAGGATGATTGATGAGCCTCCGGCAGTGGCCCATTTGGCAGGCTTAGGGTCTCCCTAACCTTCCCGTCTCCTCCGGTGCGGCATCCTTTGACTGGCTCTGATCCGACAGGTGGTAGATGGTCAGCTGGAGTTGGGACTAGCTCAATAGCTGTTGCTGTTGGCTCATTCAGCGTATAACCCGTTTTTGAGGTCGCCATCCCCCACTAGCGGAGTCTGTAGTAAGAGAAGAACTATGAGCCGCACAGTGAGAGTAATCATGCAGAGGTTATCTAAGTGAGGATTTGGCCTTCAGGCAGGTCGTTGCAGCGACCATCGTTGGGCTGTATTTGCCTCTAATAAACGAAATAGATCCTTGGATCTAACACGCCACGCTAAGTCAGCCGCATAGTTTGCCCCGCATCGCCATCA